CTCCGGGGCAGGCAGGAATCGAACTCATGCAGAAGTGGCTTTAGCTTCTCAGTGCTGTGCTTTAACCCGCTACGCCACCAGGGAGGGCCCGGCAACACTTTTTTATTGATTAAAAGAACTGTAACAATCTGTTGACTAAGATTTTGCTACTACTATTTATAGTAGAAGAAAGGTATTTTTCTCCATGAATGGGACTACTATCTCAATTATATGAGACCCTATGTAATAAAGAATAATTCAATACTTCTTACTTAGAAACACAAATATCTTGTAGTGATAACAGGTAAAAATTCAGGTGTAGAAGGAAAAGAGACTGTGTGGTGGAGTCTGGGATGGGAGAATCACTGAAGAGGCTGCCTTTGTTAAAATTAACAATATTTTATGAATCAACAAATTCAATAAAACTTTTGAGACTCAAAAAAAAAGAAAGAAAAACAAACACAAATATCTATATATTCTTATACAATCCAGATAAAATTGTTTTTCTGGAAAAGATAGAAACAAATTTAGGAATTTATTCTGAAATGAAATAGTACCAGCTCCTAGCAAATTTTTTTCTTGTTGAAATAATTCTCTGTTGACCTAATATCAGTCTAAGAGTTGAGTTGTTGTTGGGGTGTGTGTGTGTGTGTGTGTTGAGTTGTTGATGTGTGTGTGTTGAGTTGTAGGTGTTGGTGTGTGTGTGTGTGTGTTAGACAGGAGCAACAATTTATTTTCCCTAGGTTGTGGTATACTTGTAGGTAAATAATATGGAGTGGGGAAAGTATCTTTACTGCCAAATACTCTGTTTGGTTGTAATTTATGTCAGCAATCTAAAAGAGGAAGTATGGTATAGTATGTAAGTAAATTTTTCCTAATTTAATTAAAAATGCACCCTTATGGAGAATCTGAAAACTGTAGAAGATTTGGTAAATGAAATTACAGAATCAAGGATTTCAGCTATTCTACATCATTTTGTTGTATTTAGTTCCTTCCAACTTCCATATGTGAAATTTTCCCCAAACTTTATGGTTATAAATACACTATTTTTTCCTCAAAATATTGTAAGTATTTTCTTAGCCTTTAGGTACTCTCTAAATGAATTTAATGTCTGAAAATTTTGCAACCTTTGGACCTACAAGGTATATTTTCACATAAATCCAATCTTTACCCACATTTCAGGTTAATGTTTTAGATTACTTTATGTACATGAAATTACTGTATAGGATGTGAATTTTATAAAGCATCATCATTTTCCAATTTGTTTTCCTAAAAGAATGACACTTTAATTACAAAAATAATATGAATAGAAGAATATAAAAGCTACTAACTTCTCACCAGAGAAAAAAAAACTTTTAAATATTAAGACAACTCCTTGATCGACTACAAGAGATTTTTGGCTTTCATGAGAAGGAATTCAAGCTTTGTACAAGAGAAATGTTATCTCCAAGCAGCTGCTGTTCTCTGTTGACATGAGCTGAACTCATTTCAGGGTCCAGCCAGATTTCTTTGTTCAGACAGGTGCAGAAGCCAGACTGTGGGTCCACTTTTGTCTTAATGTATTTTCCAACAGGACATTGTTTTGTTCATGTCAGTCAAAAAATAAACATGTTTTCAAGCATTCACTCTACATATAAGTATACCTACTTCTATTTAAGAGGAGCATGGGCAATATTTCAAATGCAGCACATTCAACTTCTGAATTTTTAATCCAATTCTACTACAATCAGAAAAATAAATCATGAAATTTTATATTTCTACAGGGATTTAACAACTGTTTAATACCAATTTGGGCATGGAATAAAATCTATTACTTCCTGAAATATCTTTCTTCGTTGAATCTTATCCATCTACATAATGTAGTTTTTTTTAATAACTACTTATTAATAAGAACCAACATTTTAATTTCCATACTTGTACCCATATTGTGAACTCTCAGGTCCAGTGACTATACAACTCTTAAGAAAAATGACTCTTTTAGAATCATCCATGTTAAACTATCAGGTTATGTGGAATCCTTTAATTTCATGTAGTTCTATTTCATTTTAAAGAAACATTCCAAATATATACTACAATATATATAACTATACTGTTACCATCACGCAGAATTTCATAATTTACATCTGTTTTATCCATCTCTAGTGTTGCTAGAAATTGCAGGCTTTTCAGTCCTCTCAACCTTACGTATTTTCAAATATAGCTCTGTTCTAACAGAAGTATAAACAACAAACACTATGAGAAAGTTGTTAAAAATGAAAAATGGCAGAAAATGAGCAGCTTAGATTTTAGCATATTAGAGAGCTATAACCACAATACCATATTCACATCTTATAATTCTAGATGTGTGATATAATTTGGCAGTGAACATCATCTAGATATGAAATACTTTGGAATCCAGTTTTTTTTTTTAGGTAAGAACTAGAAATTGCTTCTTAGACAACTCACTTGTAGGTTTAGAACTACTTGAAATTCTGTTCCTTTAATTAAGTAGAGTTAAACACAACAAATTCTGATTCCTTAATTGTAAAGTAACTTTTCATCTTCAGATTTTGATTGTGTAAGCCTAAAGTAGCTTTATTTTTTTTGCTCTCTAATATGCTAAAATCTAAGCTGCTCATTTTGTGCCATTTTTCATTTTTAACAACTTTCTCATAGTGTTTGTTGTTTATACTTCTGTTAGAACAGTGATTATCAAATTTTTAACAGATGAAAAAAAACCTGTAAGTGGTAGTCTGGTGAATTTTGTGCCCATCACTCCTGCTAATAAAACAAAAACTCCAAATAATCTCACCAGAACTCATAGGAAAAAGACCTTATTTATACATTTATGCTTTCTATGTTTGCTGCATTGTTTGTTAGAATGAAGTGTATATAATAACAAATAAATCTAATATTCTAGTAATTTCATTTTACTATACTTCCTAAGAGAACTTAATATACATAGAGTTCTCTAATCAATACTAAACATTCAACTAAAGAAACTTTCTTTTAACTTGCCAGGTATATGATTTGAATAAATCTGAGCTTCTCTGGAATGTGTGTAAATATTGCAGAATTCACAGGAAATACTTGTGCCTGCAACCACTGAAGGAAAACAGAACTTTTGAACTTACAGTGTCATCATATTAAAATTTAGAATTAGGATGGGGGGTGTGTGACAATAAGGAGGATGACCCTGAGGTGGATTAGCCTGCAAGAGGGTAGGTTATTACCCTCCGGTGTATTATAGGGGGAAAATCAGAATGTCCTGATAAAATGAGTTCCAGTGGTGGTATACCTTAAATTCTAGAATGAATTGATGAGTATTAGCCAGATTGTGAAACATTTTCCAAACCATTGTGATAATGCAATTAAAATTTTTGACTGGGCTTTGGGATAAATGGGATAGCCTCAGATTAAGAATATTGATATTTATACAGCAGAGAAAAGGGCTTAGAATATGATTATTTCTTTTTTTTTTTAAAGATTTATTTATTTTATTCATACAGTACTGCGGTACAGGCCAGAGATGCGGAGGTGAGAGGCTTCACCAGGGACAGAGTAGGGAGCAGAACAGGCAGATCAACGAAGTACACTGCTGAGGGGAGCAGCGGGTGGGTCAGGACAGGTCTGCCACCATGTGGATCTCCTCCGGGGCATGCGGGAATCGAACTTATGCGGAAGTGGCTTGAGCTTCTTAGTGCAGTGCTTTAACCTGTTGCGCCACCAGGGAGGGCCAGAATATGATTATTTCTTTGTGTTATTAAAAAAAATACATCTTTTTTTTCCATAAGAGGTATTTAATAGCAGAATAATTGGGAGTGACAGTATTCATCTGTTGGGAAGAGAAGATAAGGGAAAATAATACTACATATTATGGTGGGATTGACACAATAGTTTGTGCTTCCAGATTACATGATAATCTCAACAATTTATATATGTGATACTGTCTTCATTTTACAACATTGGAAATTTGGGTTCAGAAACAGAGGCTTGGGTGCTAGATAATTTAGATATCAGCAACCCAGAAGTTCTGCAAATGATAGTGATGGACCACAAACCATACATAGGGCAAATGAATTCAACTGGGAAGTTGGGTGGTGGGGAAGGGGTAGCACAGGAATTTTATTTCTAACCTGTTCTCTTGTTGGTTAGTGATCTCAAAGTTTGAGAACCCTATCTTAAGACTTAGAAGCTATTTCTACTAAATATTGATTTGTAACATTTAGAATTCTTAGAAAAAGTTAGCTTCAGAAGTACTTCTGTAGATTTGTCTGTTAAAATAATGGTGCTTTTATACAGTGTTCACAACATATAGCTGTCAATGGTCATGTTCCATAAATAAGAGTTAAAAAAAATAACTTCTTGTAAGTGGCCTTAGGTGATCTCTGAAATGTTGTACTACTTAATTGACCCAAAAACCCCTACGAAGTCATATAAATCAAGAGGTTCAGATCTTTGTGTTCATTTCAAGAAACTTCCCTGCCGTTGAAGTATGTGAATCTGAAAAGCCACCACGTATCTGAAGAATGTCACTCTGCAGAAGCAACATAGGCCATTCTGTCATTATAATGGTGGAGTTGGTTGGTGAACACAGGCCAAACAGAGGCACTTCTGGGTACACTTCTGGGGCCTGGAAAGAGTGCTGGATTTTTACTACACGTTTTAAAATGTTGAACTTCAGCATTTTTCAGTAACACTGAACTTCAGGGCTGAGATAATCTGATCACTGAGCACATCTAGGTGAATAAAGCCGCCAAAATGTGTTTCAGGATAACAAAGCTCATGGTCACGTGAACACTCTGTCACACTGAGATGTTTCTTATTGAAGAGAGCAGATTGCTCCACACCAGAAGAGGAGGCACACAGAAGACATAAATATTCTTGAAGAAGCAAAAATGTATGGCCTGGAAATAAATTTATCATAAAATAAATGCAAATAGAAGTAAAAAACATAAAAAAGTCAGCTTTCTTTATTTACCCACATGAGAACTTATATTGTTGAAAGCCCAAGGTTGTCTCTCCCTAGTAGCAATATTTTTCTGATTCCTTTTTCTCTATGTCCTTTAGTACTAGTTTAACCTAATAAGATGTGTTACTTTATACTTAACACTTTTAATATAGTAATGGATAAATAAAAGTGTGTTTTTATTATTGTACAAAAGTGAATTATAGTGAAGCAAATAAAACATTTTTGTATTAATGAATAGTGGGTTTTAATAAGATAATTCTATTATCTGTAAATTGTGTTCATGAGTAGTAGATTCTTGTGAATTTTACTCTGCTAAGTTCTTTGCTCTCCTTAACAAGCATATTAGCTCAAGATAATTCTTTATAGCATTATTACATGCCTACGTAACTATTTAAGTTCCAACACTACCCTTACGTGATTGTATGTATTTTCAACAGTGATTCTTTTATTGCACACCGAGAAAGTATGAGACAGATGATGAGAAGTTTTTCTGAACCTTTTGGAAGAGATTTTCTTAGCATCTCTGATGGCAGAGGAAGAGCTCATAATCATAGAGGACATCATGATGGTGAAAATTCTTTGGCTGTAAGTTCTTTATTTCAATATATTTAATAAAGTTAGTGAGAAGACCTTAAAGGAAATTGAATTGTTATGATTAAGAATAATCAGTAATGAGAAGATACAACTAAAAAAAGGGACTGTTGGAAAATTAATCCTTTAACAATGAATTCTTAGGTTTATAGCATTCTACTGCACTGCCAGAACTTTTAGGACCATAGGGTTATATTTTATTAGCTAAAATTAATGCATTATTTTTTGTTTGCATGATTTGTTCTCACCTTAGAATTTCCTCTCTTCATGATTGAAATTAGGACAAGGAAATACTCTTTATGTCCCATAAAATATTTATTTTTTCACTTTAAGATGCAGCCAATGCTACAGTATCTTGCCTTATCTCTAAGGGACCCAGAAAAACTGATCTGCATGGCTAGATTAACCCTAGATTAACCTTTAACTTAGATTAACACAACTGTAAGATATTATTTATAAATTTTGTTTGAGAGCAAAGCTAGACAACTGTTACATATATATTAACTTAAAAAACAATAGGCTATGTATATGTCTTAATTATTTTATTCTCTGCTTATTTTAATTCCATTACATTTTCAGCCTTGCAAATGGCAGTTTTAGAACAAGTCCTCAAGAGTTGCTAAAAAGATCAATCTCAGAGTTGAAATGTAGATAACTGGAATTCAGTAAACATTGGTCAATTAGGAACTTGTAGTATTTTCCAGAAAAGCATTTTATGGTTTCCATGGACTATAATCTTAAATAAAAACAAAATATTTCATATACTCCTAAGAAATTTCATGGATAAAATTATTTCCCATTTAAATGAAAATAATCTTCACTTTTTTATCAATATAAATATATTGTTCAAATGTATATATATATTAGTCACATTCCAGTTTTCTTTTAGTGATTCAATAGTGGTATCATTATATGTTGCTTTTACTTTGGAACTGTCAATCTCCATAAAAGTCTGAAATTAAGATCAAAGGAAAAATTGAGTCCCTAGTGCTGACCTTCCCTAGGCCACCAGGGAGGTCCTTATTCTAAAATTTAATATAAACACAGTTTTCTTTTTTTTTTTAAACATAATTATATAGGGAGAAAATGACCTATTGTTGAAGGATTGTGACATTTTTTATATAAATTTTACACAAGAATTCAAAATTTATTTTCAACATTTGAAACTTCCAAGTAGTGAAAGTTGAAATTTGTACATATGTGTTTAAAATTTTGTTCTTATTCATCTGTCCCTGTTAGGAAATATAACTTGCAAACTATTAATTTTGATTATTCCATCTATTATACTTTATATTTTCTTGCCAGTCAAAAACTAGATATTTTGAAACCTGTGTATGATCCTCTCTGAAGTCTCTATTTCTTGTTCTACAAATCAGTTACTAGGGAGGTAGTCATTAAGACTTTTTGCCTATTATCTCTACTTATAATTTGAAATATCATCAGGTCATTTTTATTTTTAATTGGTTACAAGATTAACTGATATTTTGAAAATATGTAATAGTGAGCTAATGAAAAATGATTCAATCTTAAACATTTTTGCTTATTTTGTAATTAATATTAGTATGAATTTGCATTTTCTTTGAAAAGTGTGTCTCTTAATCTATAGCACATACTTTTTCTTTTAACTGCCTTTAATAAATACTGGAGCTGTCATATTTAAAACTGATATATGGTTTCTCTGTTTGCCTGTCAGGCTCCTGCCAGGCTCCACAATGAATATTAATCAGATAATTGAAAAAATATATGTTTAGTTCTTTTTTATTTATAGGTCCTATAATTTTGTTAACTCTGAATTATGTGATTATGCAGTGCATTTCTTTTGGGGGGGATTATATAATAAACATCATAACCAAAAATTGGATTTTTTTCTAGGTATTGAATTCTCTTGTGCCTTTTGGCAGTTTTGGTGGTGCGGTTCGTATCAAGCTATTTTAGCAATATTTTATGACATTTATTTTTATTAACTCGAGCAAACTGAATTGGCATGCAGTATCACTTGTATAATAACATTTTAATGTTTGTATTGGAAATCTGTGTATTGTGTATTAAGTATATTTTAGATATTTAGGCATGTGTTTTCTGACATAAGTCATATTAACATATATAAAATCAGTCTTCAAAAAGAATTACATTTTGTAAAAGATTTATTTATTTGTTTGTTTATACATACAGAACTGGGGTACAGGCCAGAGGTGCAGGGGTGGTGAGAGGATTCACCAGAGACAGAGTGGGGAGCAGAACAGGCCAACTGACAAAGTACACTGCTGAGGGGAGCAGCGGGCAGGTCAGGAGAGGTCTGCCACACCGTGTGATCACCTCCGGCGCAGGGGGGAATCCAGTTCATGCTGAAGCAGCTTTAGATTCTCAGTGCTGTGCTTTAACCTGCTGCGCCACCAGGGTGGGCCCAGAAGTACATTTTAATAGGTGAAAATTTACTTGATTTACAAAAGGGACTTCATAGTTGTGTTTGAAAATTGGAGACTTCCTGCATGCTTCTAATGACTCTCCAGTAGGTAAAAAAAAAAAAAAAAAAAGTGCCAACCTCTAGATGGACAAGTATTAGTTGGCAGAATGATGGGTACCTCATCACCCCCAAACATGCAGTTTCTGCCATCCACTGCATAACGAGAAAAACATACCCTTAAATGTATAAGGCCACCCATAGAAAATAACTTTAATAGAATTATTGTGCAATAGAGAGAAGAGAAAGAAAATAGTTTCCCAGTGGAAATGGATTCCCACCTCCTACTGGGTAAATGGCTCGTCTAACAGTGTGGGTCCAAAACAGGACCACTGAGGCCTGATGACTTGTCAAATGGCTTAAGGTACCTTCTGGAAGGGAACCATATGAAAGGGGCAGAAGGGGTTAGACAAGTCTAGGAGGACAAGAAAAAAATCACAAGTCAAGATAAAGTCTCCCCATGGGTCTTTTTTGTCTCTCTTCCGGGTCTCCTTCTGAGTCCCACGAGTCTGTGGTACAAGTCCAAGGCCAAGAAGCAAGCGTAGCTTCTCTGTTCCACATGCCTCCTCCAGGACTTCTACTCCCAGCTTTCTCTTCCAAGTCCTTTTTAGCTTTCTCTTGCTGTTCAGCTCCATCCTTCCTCAGAGGGGGCAGGGAACCTGGAACCAACATATCTATGAGGATTACACTGTTACATAGGCTAAGGCTTTGCTAAAGTTTGCTAAGGCTCAGCTTGGTCACTTAACCTAAGACCCTGTTGCATTTTGTTTATGCTTCTTTTTGTTTTGTGTCCAAGTGTGGCTACTCGATAGCCAGCTTTTTCCCCTTCCCTGGTCCTAATTTCTTAGTTTTCTGTGAGGCAAACTAAGAAATTACACGACTTTGGGATTGTTCCTATGGATACATCTACACTCTCATGAAAAGTTTGTTTTTACTCTCTTTTCTACACTTCAGCCATGTCTCCCTAAAAGCCTGTCATGTTTTCTGCCCTGGACAGAGTTTTTGGTGAGACAAAAATCAGCACTAAGTTATCAGTAAAATGAATGGGAAGTTTAGCATAGAGTATAGACAGAAAAGCACATGTAACCCAGACCTTTTGAGATGGTGGGGTGGAGACAATCAGAGGAGACTTCCAGACCATTACGAATTAACAGGAGATTACCAGGACAGTCAAGAGGGGTGGGAGGGATGAGGTGCTGAGCACATAAGAAACAGTATGTGCTGAGACCTGAAGATCAGCAGATCAAAGATATTTTGGATAACTTTTGCCCTAGAACATAAATTAGAGAAGAATAGAGAGGTAATGAGGGACTTCTTTAGGTTCTGATAAGGACTATGGACATTGTCTTTGGGGCAGGGAAAGTTTGGTTCTATCAAAATGATAATAGAGTAAAATTCTTTATTTGAAAGAGCATTGTACCTACAGGGGAGAAGTTAAAGGGGATCACAGTGGAGGGAGGGAGGCTGTTTAAGTGTTCTGAGAAGTATTAGTGCTCATTTCTGCTTGGGTAATGGCCATGGTGATAAAGAGAAATCTCATTTGAGAGCATTAGAAAGGTGAATAGATAGAACATGGTGTTAGATTGGGTTGAAGGAATAGTGGAGAGGGAGAAGGAAAGTGTTATACTCATTTTTCTGATAGGATAAATTAGGTAGATGTGTTGGGATTCAGATGAAGAGTTTCAGTATGTGGGGTTCTTCAGTCCCACTGTGAAAGAATTCAGTATATGTTCCCATTCAGCAGTACACACCACACCAAGTTTATTAAGGAAAAGAAAAAGGAAAGAAATATACCTGCATAAGCTCATGTACCAGAGAGCTGTGTTTTGCCAGAGCATGGAGTCTTTTATAGTGTTCTTTGATGGAATTACTGTGGAATTTATGAACTTGGGGCCAAGCTATTGGTCTTCTATGATTGATACATACCTTTGCTCTCACCTCTGGCTGATAAGTTTTCTTGCCTCACCTCTGATTCCTGGAAACTCCATAATGGGTTTCGTTTAAGATGCTGTAATCATCCTTACCTCCACCTCTGATGTTTGGCCTTTGAAGACCTTCCATCCGAAATTTTTCTACTCCAGACTTCCATAAGGTGGGAGCGCCACTGGGCGAAGGAACAGATTGTGGTACAGCACACGTATGAGGGCAGCAGTGGTCAAAAGGATCATTTGACTTCTGGGTATTTGAGGCATCTACCTATGGACTGTCCATGTGGATTTCTTTGGTAAACCATTGGATAGAAGTATATGTTTGAACTAGATAGAGATAATTTCTTCATTCAGCAAATTGTAGGGCCTTCTTGTGTGCCTGGAATTATTTTATACGAATTGGGAATCTAGTGGTGAATAAGAGAGGATAGCATTGCTTTCACAGAAATTATTTTTGTAGAGTAGAAGACAATAAACAAAATAATTTCAGATGTCCAAACCACTATGAAGGAAATGAAACTGGATAATATATAGAAGCGAGGTGAAACAAATGAATTTAGACAGATGGCCTTTTTAAGAAGGTGAGTCTTGAATGATAAGAAACTGCTGAGTCAGGAGAAAACATTCTTGTCAGAAGCATATGTGCACAAAGTTCCTGAAGGCCTTAAGAACCTGCTGGAATCTCAACTTTTTAATTTGTATTCTACTTTTTGTCACTCCAAGGTATTGGATCACTCCAAAGCAAGTACAGATACAACTTTTGATGACTGATTTGATAGTAAATTGAGAAGAGGGCAGAGTATTCCCAAACATCTGATCTTTCTTTCCTTCAACTTCTCCCCTCCCTCCTTGGGCTAAAACTCTTCCATCTCTTGTAAATAATGTATTTTATATGGTCCTGATTCTCAGTCTAGTAGTGGAACAAAATATTCAGAATATTTTGTGAATTGTGTTGCATCTCTGAAATGCAGATTTATTCTACTTCAGTACTTTGGGTATCCAAAGAAAATGATCTCCTAGATGTGCCTTTGTTGTTTGCTACTGAGTTAAAGGCAAGTTCTGTGGAGGAATTTGTTTTTTCCACCTATTTCTCATTGTTCCCAGCAATAAAGCAAAGGCACAAAGAGGCCTTATTTATGATAATTCTTTATTGAGTCTCAACTTGAAACAACAAAAGAGTTTATAAGTTTTAAGCCTTCTGTTCCAGCAGAGGCATTCCTTGAACTAAACAATTTTCTGTCTTATGAAAAGAAGACAATACATTAGAAGGCACACCAGAATTTGTTTCACTTTTATTTTCTGGTGAGTGTCTTAGTGATAAAACCTGAAATCAATAGCAGACTTCTCTTGGGTTTCTAACTTTTGACTCAAATTGATATCTTGGACCAGTTATTTCTTGTTCTGACCTATGTTTTATAGAATGTTTATCCTGGCCTCTACCTACCTGATGCCACTTCTATACCCCTCTCAGTGGTGGCCCCCCAAAATTAATAAGTGGTATCTTGTTTTATTGTGCATTGCTTATGTAATGTTTTTCAAATTAAAGGTTAATGTCAACCCTGTAATGAACAAGTCTCTGTGTATAATTTTTCCAACAGTATGTGGTCATTTCGTGTTTTTGTCATTTTTTGGTGTCACTTCTCTTGATATATTTCAAACTTAATATTATACCTGTTATGGTGCTCAATGATAAGTGATCTTTGATGTTACTGTTGTAATTGTCTTAGGGCATCATGAACTGTGTCCATCTAAGACAGCAAACTTAATAAATGTGTGTATTCTGACTACAGACTAGCTGCTCCTCAGCTTTTCTTTCTCAGGTTTTCCTATTCCCTGAGATACAGCTTATTGAAATTTGGCCAGTTAACAATCCTACGATTTCCTCTAATGTTTAAGTGAAAGAACAGGAACATTTCTTTCACTTTAAATGAAAAGATAGTGATTAAGTTTAGTTAATGAACGTATGTCAAAAGTCAAGACGGGCCAAAATCAGAAAAGAAAAGAAAAGTTTTTGAAAGAAATTAAAAGCTCTGTTCCATGATAAGAAAATGAATCAGATTTACTGATAACAGAAATAGAAAAAGTCCAAGTGGTTTGTATAGAGATGAGACTTGGCACAACATTCCCTTAAGCCAAAGCCTAACCTCCAGCTAGGTCTCTCCAATTCTGTGAAGGCTGAGAGGGGTAACGAAGTTACAGAAGGAAAATCTGAAGCTGACAGATGTTAGTTGGTGAAGTTAAAGGAAAGACGTCACTTCCATATCATAAAAGTGCAAGGAAAAGCAGCAAGTGTTGATATAGCAAGTTATCCACAATTTTTATTAATAGCTAAGATCAGCAATGAATGTCCACACTTAACAACAGATTTTCCATATAGGTGAAGACACCATCTGGGACTTTCATAGATAGGGAGAAGTCAATCCTGACTTCAGAATTTCAAAGGACAGGCTGACTCTGTTAATGTAACCAGTGACTTTAAATTGAAGCCAATGTTCATGATCCATTCTGAAAATCTTAGGACCCTTAATTATGTGAAATTCCCTCTGCCTGTATTACTTAGGTGTAACCATAAAGTCTCAATGGCAGCACATTTGTTTACAACACGATGTAAGTCCACTTTTGATACCAACTACTCAGATAAAAAGATTTCTTTCAAAATATTACTGCTCATTGATAATAAACCTGGTCACCTAAGAGCTCGGATAGAAATGTTCAAGGAGATTAATGTTTTCATTTCTGCTAATCAAATGTCTGTTCTGCAGCCCATGAATCTAGGATTAATTTTGAGTTTCAAGTCTTAAAATTTGAGAAATACATTTCCTAAGGTTGTAGCTGCCATAGCGAGTGATTACTCTGCTGGATCTGGGCAGAGTCAATTGAATTCACCAATCTAGAAACCATTAGGAGTGTTCATAACTCATGGAGAAAAAGTCAAATAACATAAGCAGGAGTGTGGAAGAAGTTGATTTCAACTCTCACAAATGACTTTGAAGACTTCTGTGGAGGAATTAATTATAGATGTGATGGAAATAGCAAGAAAACTAGAATTAGAACCTCATGACACAACCGAATTACTATAATCTCATGATAAAACCTGAACAGGTGAGGAGTTGCTTCCTCTGGTTGAGCAAAGAAAGCAATTTCTTGAATCTAATTCTGTTAAAGATGGGTAAAGACTATCAAACAGTATCACGTGCTGCAGAGAAATCTTTAACTGAAGGAAAAACAATTGATTTGGTAGACTTAATAGTTGTCTTGTTTTATAAGAAATTGCCACAGTCATCCCTGCATTTGGCAATCCCCACTCTGATCAGTGAGCAGCCATCAGTACCAAGGCAAGAGTTTCCACCAGCACAAAGATTACAACTTTGTAATCATTGGAGTGGGAGGCTCTAGTGATGGCAAATATTTTTTCAATAAGATATTTTACAATTAATACATTTTAAATAGTACATTTCAGACATAATGCTCTTGTGCACTTAACATAGTATAGTGCACTTAACATAGTATAGTGTACATCATTTTTATATGCCTTGAGAAATAATTTTTTTGTGTGTGATTTGTTTTATTGCAATGGTCTAGAACTGAACCAGCAGTATCTCCAAGGTATGCCCTGCATAATTATTCCTATATGTTCTCCATGAGTCAACATCACTTTTGGCTGAGAAACCATTATTTTAGTGTAATTTATAACTGTTCTTTAAAGGCATATACCCCATGCTTCAAGGGCATGCTCTGTGAGGGCCTCTTTACTAGGCAGCACATTGATCTTAACAGTAGAGTGAATGGATCTTTTTCACTCTATTACTTGGGTCCTACTATGATGAGAAGGAGTACTAACTACTCTAGAGGAAGCTGCTATCAGTCAAATAGAACTGCTGATACTCAAAGTTTTATTTCCTTGTGTGGTATATGGTCTGAGAGGAAATAAGGAAAAATTTGAAGACTGTTGTATGCCACAACTACCCAGCTCAGAACACATCACTTAGTATTTAAATGTAAACCAAATTATGTTTTGAGAAAGTTGTTATTTGTGAATATCTTTAAATGTTTGTGCATGTATATATGTTTGTCTATATACATGTGCATGCATCTATGTATTTGTAATACAATTCACTGGTCATTTATACATTGGCTTTTTGAGGTTTATTGTATGCTTCAGTATTTTCATTAACAAATAACTTTTACCATGTAGTTTTTAAATTATTTTTGCTTCCTCAATTGCTGCATGAGATCCCACTGCATAAATCAGGAAAAAAATTTCATCTATTTGGGGAAGATTGACTTGCTGTTTTTGTGTTATATTGATAGTTAATAACATACTTCCTAATATCCTGTAGCATACAGATGTCAACCCTTTTCAGGCAATGGACCGAATGATGTTAAATATGCGAAACAGTATGCAGGAATTACAAAGAAACTTTGTAAGTACCAATAAGTTGAATGAGAACATTATTTTCAATTATTGGAAACCCTATATCATAGTGGCTTTCAGTCTTTTTAAAACGTTGGTCCATAGTGGCTGAAAAATATGTCTTACATCATGACCTCCAATGCATAAATACTTGTATATTTTATAAATATACTTGAAGGAAAGGTTTCATGAAAAACATTGGCATATTATTTACAGACTGTGCTAATAGTTTCTATTAAGTTTGTATTTTTAAAATCCTGATCACAGCCCACCAAATTGATTGCACAACCTACAAGTTTGAAAATAGCATTAATTTTAAAAATCAAAAAAAATTCAACCTCAAAAACATTTGTTTTGCTGAAGGCCACTATTATAAACATTTTATATGAATGTAGATATTTTTAATGATTTAAATGGATTTGTAGGTTAAAGAGTAGATTTTGTTTAAAAGAAATTTCAAAAGTTATATTTAGGTACTAAATTAGATCCATAAAGCCTAAGTATTTATCACCTAATTCTAGCACTCTTGTTTCTCTACTCATTAATAACAAAACAGTAACTTGATTTGATAAAAGAACTCCTCTCATTTTAATCATCCTGTTTGGAATCTAAGGAGCAACCAGAATGTACACATCTCTGTGTCTTATTTTAGTAACATGACAATCTGGTACTCACAGGAGGTCTAACACTTCCTGGCATTATGGTTAATTATGTCAGAGTTGGCAAAATTGCAAAGGTCAACCACTGAGTAGGCTTCACAGCACAGCATCAATTTTTAAATCTAAATAATAAGTCTTTGATTCCTAAAGTTTAAGGATCTCGGAGTGAATTCACTCACAAGAATTCACTCACTAAAATGGAAGGGGGGAGGGTAAGACATCCCTGAGGGTGCCATTTGGATACACCGCTCTGATGTGATAGCCCCTTTGGTAGATTTCTAACTAATGTAATCCTCTGACAGTAATTCCTCATAATGACTAAACTCTGGATTTACAATTTATATTTACTTCTAGGGTCACCTTTCAGTGGACCCAAATGGACATTCATTTAGTTCTTCTTCAGTTATGACTTATTCCAAAGTAGGAGATGAACCACCAAAAGTTTTCCAGGCCTCAACTCAAACCCGTAGGGCTCCAGGGGGTGTAAGTATTTTCTAAGCATTCTTAAATCTTTATAAAGATATAGAATGATATCCACCTATATCATTTTAGTTATTTTAATAATTAAAAATTAATTTTATATTGAAGGGTTAAGGAAGACATGTCATTATGAAAAGCATGAAGTTAACTATTAAAGGCATTTTTCATGTACATATATACTGATTTATTACTTTTATTGTTAACAAGGTAAGTAGACAATAAGCAAAGTCTTTGGTTCATGAAAGGCTTTAGTTTATATTTGAAATAATGAAATTTTTAACTCCTGAAATATTTCAAGTATATGGGAAGGATATAGAGGATAATATACTCACATCCCATTCAGTTTTGTCAAATCATAATATTTTTCTGTTTTCTTTAAATTATCTCTTGTTTTGTTTTCTTTTGAAACAAAAGCTATTAAAGTACAGTGGAAGCTTCCAGTGCACTCCGTCTTGGTCCTTTTCCCCTTTTCTTCCACCTCAAAGAGAACCATTTTCTTGTATGTAGAATTTATCATTTTTAATGATTTTATTATTTATGTGTACATAGTAAAAATATAGTTATATTAGAGTTTCTAAATGTTTTATAAATGGTCCTCTGCAACTTTATGCATCTATCCTCTGTAACTTGACTTTGCTTGGTAATATGTTCCTAAGATTTATTCAAGATCATATGGGTAGCTCTGGTTTCTTTAAATACTGTGCATTATTCAGAATATGAGTAAACCTCCATTTTCAATCTCTAAATATATTCAACCGCTATTGATATATATTTAGAAATTTAATTTTTCACTTACTCATCTTTATATGTCTCCTTGTCAAAGGGCCTAAGATTGGTAGCATTGGGATGTAGGAAGTATGTGTCTTCATTTTCATCTAGAAATTACCAAATTGCTATCACAAAGGGGTTGAAACAGTTGACTCCCACAAACTACAATATAAGAGTACCCATTCCTTTATTTCCTTTTGGAGTTCATAGTAAAAAAAGGTGAGGTTTACTTGCCTAATGGTTGTGAATATTTCATTTTTTTAGCTCATACATATAAAGAGACACCTTTTTTTTTTTAGATTTATTTATTTATTCATACAGAACTGGGGTACAGGCCAGAGATGCAGAGGGTGAGAGGATTCACCAGAGACAGAGTAGGGAGCAGAACAGGCAGATCCACGAAGTACACTGCTGAGGGGAACAGCGGGCGGGTCAGGAGAGGTCTACCTGGCCATGTGGATCTCCTCTGGGGCAGGCGGGATTCGAACTCATTTGGAAGTGGCTTAAGCTTCTTAGTTCTGTGCTTTAACCTGCTGCGCCATCAGGGAGGGCCCTGAAGAGACACCTTTTAATGATGCCATCTGAGACATTTTAGTTTTAAGTTGCTGTAAGGCATATACATTTTAAATGTAAACAGACTATAACTAAAGATATCTACAGCAAACTATGTTAATGTCCTATGAGTCATAAATATTTTAATAACCCATAGAGTTTTATAGGTGGGAGTTATGAGATACTAGCCCATTAACACAACTACTGAATGATTAGTTAACCATAATTGTAGGAATGCTAGTGTGAACCCTCCATTATATATGGTCATATTAGAGAAAGTACTGCTTTATACTGTGTCTTAATATTAAATTATGTTTTGTAAAAATGTGAAATTATATCTTTCTGTTTGCCCTATACTTAAAAATTTTTTTTTTAAGATTTATTTATTTATTCATACAGAACTGGGGTACAGGCCAGAGATGGGGAGGGTGAGAGGATTCACCAGAGACAGAGTGGGGAGCAGAACAGGCAGATCCACGAAGTACACTGCTAAGGGGAGCAGCAGGCGGGTCAGGAGAGGTCTGCCTCGCCATGTGGTCACCTCCGGGGCACGTGGGGATCGAACTCCTGAGGAATTGGCTTAAGCCTCTCAGTGCAGTGCTTTAACCCACTGCGCCACCAGGGAGAGCCCATACTTTTAAATTTTTAACCAGCCACTAAATGTCAGAGAATTATCTTACTGTATTTGATATAGGCTGGTAGTCATTCTTTAAAGCAGTAAATCTATTTGGATCCTGAGAAGTTTAGATTGTATCACTTATATATATGTATATTTAGATAATAATTAAGTAATTTAAAATTTTTCTTTGTATTTATAGGTAAAGGAAACGAGGAAAACATTGAGAGATTCTGACAGTGGACTAGAAAAAATGGCTGTTGGTCATCATCTTCGTGACCGAGCTCATGTCATTAAAAAGTCAAAGAACAATAAAACTGGAGATGAAGAGCTCAATCAAGAATTCATTAATATGAATGAGAGTAAGTTATCACAGAAAATAGTCTTTTCCTCTTAAAGTTACAATAGCAGCAGGAACTTGTAGAACTTATTTTTTTATAGAAACAATTCACAAGAAAGTCCTCCTTTGTGGTGTAAAGTTTAAAGTCTCAGTGCTAACAAGCTATCACCAGTCACTGCCACATGAGTTCAAACCCCAGCCAGGTTGCTGACCCACATTGCTCAGCAGACCTCTCCTGTCTCACCCCCCTCAGCAGTGTACTTCGTCATTCTGCTCGTTCTACTACTGATCTGTTTCTGGTGGATCCTCTCACCACCCGGTGCCTCTGGCCTATACCCCAGTTCTGTATTCATAAAAAATAAATGGATGGGCTCTCCCTGGTGGTGCAGTGGGTTAAAGCACAGCACTGAGAAGCTAAAGCCACTTCCACATGAGTTCGATCCCCGCCTGCCCGGGAGGAGATCCACATGGCCAGGCAGACCTCTCCTGACCCGCCTGCTGCTCCCCTCAGTAGTGTACTTTGTCGATCTGCCTGTTCTGCTCCCCACTCTGTCTCTGGTGAAGCCTCTCACCGCCCCTGAAACTCTGGCCTGTACCCCAGTTCTGTATGAATAAATAAATCTTAAAAAAATAAATAAATGGATGAATGAATAAGTACTAAATTCTATTAATATTAGAGTTTTATAAAATCATTCTTATGCATGAAGATGAATACAGAAAAAACATTTTAACCTTTGTAATTTTGTCATATTTAAATATATTTGGAGTACCTCTGTTCAAAAGAGCAAAGGAATACATTATTATTATAAGGCAATCTGAAAGAATAAGTATTGTCATTTATTTATTGTTGCTATTATGGCAGTTGAATTACCTCCTTTATAACATGAATTGACAATTGAGATGAGTAACCACTCTTAGGAAACTGACCACAGAAGTTTGTGTGGCTAAGTTCATAGGAAGATAGTGAGGTAAATAGACATGTTAGCCACTGAAGGAATGTCCAGTAAAGATTACTGGAATGAATGAATCATGAATGGCTTGATTACTATGAGATGACCTGGGATGAAAAATACAAATCAGTATACAATTGCGTCAAAAGACCCATCGAGTAGATTAATATGCTATCCAGGTAGGTATGTAAAATCCCAGATCATCAATAATCAAATTATCAGAAATTAAGAGAGGAATAGATAAGAAATTATTACCCTGTGTCAAAGACACAGGAAATGGTTGTATTGGAAATGGTTTGCAGACTGAGGTTATGTTAATGGACACAGTTATTGACATCTGATGATTGATCCCCTTTATTTTGTTATCTTATGTAGGTGATGCTCATGCTTTTGATGATGAGTGGCAAAGTGAGATTTTGAAGTACCAACATGGGGGGCACCGGCGCAATCTGCGAAGTGTCGGTCATGGGAATTCTGGTTCCCAAGAAGTTAAAAGAAGGTAAATGTTATTTATAAAATAACTGTTAAAAGAATTAGAAGGAAAGTTATGTAATTTTACCTCTGTTCCAGAATGTTCTGATTAACACCCAAGTTGTTTATAGCAATAATCATCTTTTGTGAAAGATGTAATTTTGTATTATATCTGAATATACCACACAATTTTAAATTTGCATCTAAAAACCAGTAATAGTTTAGGATTGCATAATCAGTAACTCAGTAAGCAAATAACACTTTAGAAGATAAGGACCAAATCTTCCCAAGTAAATGTTATACTCTGGTAGTTGTTCTTGTGGAACACATTCTGATCTCGTTACAGTCATCACTTCATACCAGGTAAATTTATTGGTATCAAGTTCTGCTCCCCACTCTGTCTCTGTGAATCCTCTCACCCCCACTGCACCCTTACCTGTACCCCAGTTCTTCTATGCATAAATAAATCTTTTTTAAAAAGAAATATAATAAAAGGAAAGAGGTTATATTTGAAAGGTTTACTGAAACTTCCAAAGAAGTTAAAATTCAGCATTTAATGGTAAATGAATTTTTAGACACTACACACACACGCAAACACACACAAACACATATGAAACTTTGGCAGAGTCTTACAAAACCTTTAGACTTCTTTGCAATTATCTTTTACAATAGCTGTTAAAAATAAATATGCTGAAACCACAATTCAAAGATTATAGAGATTTTTACATGCTTACATTTAATAGTTACAATTATTTAATAGTTACAATTTAATTTAATTCTCTGGGGGGGAAATTGAAATCAATACCAAATTCCTATTGAAATTATACCCAGAGAGAGAGGCTTCACCAGGCTTTTAAAACAGAAATCTGTTCTAGGCTATAAGAGTGGAGAATTGCTGCAGAAGGTGGAAGGCTTCACAGAACCAGCGGTCGACAAGTGGATATCAAGTAAATCAGAAGCCTTATACGGACTTTTAAGTGCTAGCACCATTTTTTAAAAATGCATCTTTAGGAATTTAAAACCCTATATTCTCTATAGATTTACTTGAAAACTTGGTGGCCCATATTACTTTTAACAATATTTGTCTCACTTTGAAAATCTGATCAAAATCTAACACTGCTGAGTCTGAATAGGAAGCCCAGGTTCCAGTTGGAGAGCGCATGATAGAGTTTCATAAATCTATGACCGTCAGAGGGACATCTTCTTGGAACTAGCACTGAGAGTAGACTCCATGAACTGGCTTTCTGCAGTGATGGAATTATATATCTGCACTGTTCCATATGGTAACCTTTAGCCACAGTAACTATTGAATCATACTTAAAATATGGTCATTGCAACCAAGGAGCTACATTTTAAAATGTTAATTAATTTAAATATAAATAATGTGACTGGTGGCTACCATGTAGGACAGGAGGCTAAACTGTAAACAATAAAACCTATCTCAGAAAGGCAGTTTGTTGCCCTCTGCAATTGTAAGTGAAACTGTCTACCTCATATTTTTCAACACTATTACAGGACTTTTGAGATAAATTACAGTGATTTTTACGTGTTTGTATCAATGTATAAACTACTAACCATCTTCTAAATGATACTAACATTCAAATGTATATTTCCCAGGGAGAAACCTCATCAAAATCCAGCCATTGAGAAGGGAAAGTCAAATGCTTTTGTGGACAAACTCAACATCAAAGGATCACCTGTGAAAATCAACAAAAAATAAATAGACTTGGCATTTGATTTAATTAGCTTTGGTTGTTTTAAAGGAGAAAGTAACGGTGCTGGGCAATATACATAAGACCAATCCCTTGTTAATCAATATTGTGCTTATTAACAACTTCCTTCTGATATCTGAATGTTCTTGGAAGTGCTAGCTTTATATTGTCCTTGCTTTAGTAATAAACTGTTTTAAAACAATGCAAATAAATTTTTAAACATTCTATAAAACTCTACTGTAAAACATATTACTTTTTACTGATTTAATTTCCCAGTTTTTCTGTTAAATATATATTCTCTTATATTCAAGATTGAATGTAGAACTAGATCTATCATAACTAGTTATAAGAAGGTAAAGTGTTAAAAAAAATAGTCTGTTTTTCCCTAAAACTATACTAGAGTGAAAATAAAGATCTAAATAATTTATCAAATTTTATAGTATACTATGGAGCATGCTAGCTTGACACTTTAAAAGAAAATAAAGTAAAATTAAAATGGTACTTTTTTTGAGAAATCAGTTACTTTGATAAAAAAAACATGAATAACAAAAGAGATTATCACTTATTTTCAAAGAGAGATTTTAACTTGTTAGCGTGGGTGAGTTTTCTTATAATTTCTCTACACATTGTATTCTTTTTATTCCACATTACATTCTTAACATTCATCAGACTTTCTATTGACCTTTCTGTAACTTTTTAAGTTGGTATTTTTCTGCTCTCCTTTCCCACAAACAGCTTAATCTATCTCCATTCTAAAGTTGGAGTGCCCTTGGAGAAACTGTGTTCAGCCTTTCTGTGACATTTAGAAAATTCCTTTGGTATTCTACAACGTAAATGATTGATTGTCTCAAAATTTCTCAGACAGGTGATGTGTGTGTTTGAGCAAGGTCCTTAATAATTCACTTCTTCCCTTTTGTAATTATGTCATTTAAAAATCAGCTATAGCATTTTTATTTTAGAGTTCAAGCATTGTTCTGTTTTAATAAAAGGTTTGAAGTTTATGGAAATATAAAATTTTAACTCTTGAGTTAAGTCTTTGTTCTTTATGAATTGTTTCTATTAAGGGGAGAGGAAAGAAAAGAAAATTCACTAGTGGGGGTATCGCTGGTGGCATAGAGGGTTAAAGACAGTGCCATCAAGCTAACTCCAGACGCTGCAGCAGGAGTTTGAAAGCTGGCTGGTCAAGGAGCTGACCCACATGGCGCAGCAGACCTCTGCTGTCTTGCCCACTGCTCCCCTCAGCAGTTTATTTCAGTACACCTGCCTGTTCTGTTCTCCACTCTGTTTCTGGTGAACCCGCTCACCCCTCCCTCCCGCTGTCCTACACCCCAGTTCTTGTATGCATAAATAAATAAATATAAAAAATTTCACTATCACTCTATAAGTATTTTTCTCTTATATCTGGAAACAGAGTTACAGTGTTATGCTTATCTTTTAATATTCTATATCACAGCCTATCAATTCACTAGTGAGTGTTCCAGGCATGGGACACATTTTACCAATAAAATTAGATGTATATGTGTGAGATCATTTTTATGAGAGAAAGTAATTGAGCATGCATAAAGGGGGTTAAGTTTTTCTTTTATACACACTTTCTAGTATATTGATAACATAGCAGGAAATTGTCAAAGGCATACATTTTAAATAACATTGCTGTGCAAATCCAATTGATAGAGCAAAATCTTGAAAGAGTTCACTCTAGTTATTTTCCTTTTGCCTAGATCATTACCCTGATAACGTTAATCATTATATTCCAATATGAAAACACATTAATAATGAATGCACTTCAAACTATATATTATATTCAGAGATTTTTCTTACAATTTCTTTATTGTGGAAACCAAATAAAATTTGATTATATTTTTTCTTGTGCCTCTGTGATTCCTACAGGGACACTTACAAAATGTGAGACAAATAGAGATTAAATGCCAATTGTTTACATTCACACGGTGATGCTGGTATTGACTTTTTTTTTAGCATTTATTTTTACCATCATGCTAAAGTCAGTATAAAAAGACGATTCTCTGTAGCTTGTGGTTCATTCACATTCTATTTTTGTCTTTAAGGAAAGCCATTTGATATCTCTGAGACCCCGGAGTCTTGAGAATGTAAGGTTATAAACAATCTGATGAATTCTGACAATTAGGCCAAGTGCATACTTAGGCTCCTGGCCACTTCTGAAATTTTCCTAGTACTTGCAGTCTCGGTGATAGTTTTTCATTATTCCACCTCCATTTTATTGTCCTTTACTATCTACCATCAGGTAGTGGCAGGAGAACAAGAGCTGGTGATCTGTAGGAAGTCATTACTACAATCTGCAACGCAGGGGCAACTGCAATCACCTGGAGATGATTTTGGTAGTTCCTCGGGGGAGCCCCAAGGCGAGTCAGGGGTGGCGGTGGTGGTGGGGAGCAGCGGGGTCCAGTCTTGTTGAACGCAGTGCTGCAAGATATGGATATATTGACGGAGTAGAGCGCTGTTAGGGTGTCAAAGTGACATTTTCGGCTTGGGCAACCCTAGGAGTTTCCATTAAAGAAGTGGAGAAGACCTTAATGAAGTGACCTGGGAAGGATGATCAGAAACTCCGTTTTGGACACAAAAAAGCCTAGTTACTTCTAAGAGAACCAAGTGGAACTGTCATGAGTGCAGGGCAAATGACCTGGGCACATAACGTTTAACATCGAACAATGTCAACATTATGGCATTTTTAAAAAGCGCTTTCACTGGATACTTCACTACTTTTCTATGCTCTTTGATATTTGTAATAGCATAGTACAGATAAAAAAAATTGCATCGTAATAAGCATTTCTCCAATTGCTGTGTAGCAAAGCGACTACTAGAAAAATCTCGTCTTCCTAGGAGCCCGCGACAGTTTGCTGTGCTACTCAACGTGCCTGCACTTTTTCCTCCCTCTCGGCAGAGGACGCCAGAGCGGCGGAGGGCGTGGTTCCCCTCCGAGGCCAGCGCTCCTCCCCTTCCTTCCCCTCGCCTCCCTTGCGACCTTCGCCCCGGAAATGTTCCTAGAGCCGCTTGCGGCGTGACTTTGAGCGCTTCAAGCTAAAGAACTGGCTGCTGAGCGGCTCTGGGGCCGGGAGACCTCCGAGCTTGTGCCGAGCTGCCATGAAGCTGCTGGGGGCCGCTGCCGCTGCAGCGGCTCGGGGTTGTGGGCCGCTCGCTGGGGCCCCATCCGTCTGGGGCTGGCGGTGCCGGCAGGTATTGTACCGGGGTTGTCCTCCCGAAAAGAGGGCATGCACCCCTCACCACATCCCCGAGTGCGGGTGGCGGGCCTCGGGGCGGGCCGGAGTGGACTCCCACCCCCCGGGACCCCAGACCGGAGCCCCTAGTGCGGGCGGGCGGCAACGGCTCTTGCACGTTTCTCGTTAAGCGGGGGCGTGCGTGGTCTCCGTGCGGGAGGTTGCACAGGAGTGGACCCTAGAAAAGCGATTGCAGTGCAGGTCTTGAATGCTGAAAAAGACAGTGTTTGTCGGACTCCAGCCCAGGTCAAGGGACTTGGCGTGCGGTATTCACTACAGTGTCTTTGGGCTGACCCAGCCTCCTGTTTCAGCCGATCCGAGGTCTTTTGATTAACGTTAATCTTCCCAGTAGTTTCCTTGGGTCTTGTTCCTTATCGGGTAGCATAGAGGATTGAAGTTATTTTTGCCTTGGAGCGCCCTTGGATCAAAGAGGAATTGAGTTGAGCATTATTTTATGCAGACCTTGTTTGTTCTCTGGTGTCACTTGGAGTTAATCAGTTAAGCGTTTGTCTCCCAGAATCCGTTCAGTACATTAGCCACCTTTTCCAAGTTCTGCTTGCCTTCTCCCCAGAAGTGACCGTGCATTTTGGAGGTGCTGTCCTTTAGTGAGAGGTTTATATTGTGTCTTGACTGTGTGGGAGCTCGCAACCTCACTACACAGAGTGTAAATCCTCAGCCGTTCCCTTGCTACCTGTGAGGTACATTAAAGAAAAGTAAAATTTAAACTAAAAACTGTTATTTCCTACTGTGTTTCCACAGTTGTTTGGGACCTGTGTCTGATTTTTTTCAGCCAGTGTGTCTTCAAAACTAACAGTTGTAAAGTACACGTCCCCTTGCTTTAACTAATTTTTATCTGATTTATTTATTGACTTAAGAATATCTTTTCCACCCTCTCTCACAATTTCTCCTTTGTTTACAGGCTGAGATAGCCCCTCTCTTGCCTCTCTAATCCATTTCCTGTAATGTCTTGTTTCCATTAGATTGTTTTGAGGAAACATGCCTCCCAAATCCATTCTGATGCATAACTTTATTTCTCATAAAAGACAAAGAACATTGAACAGAACTCTCATCTTTTCAGGTTAAGTGGAAGGCCTGCAGATGGTGTTCTTCAGGGGTGATTCCTAATGAAAAAATACGAAATATTGGAATTTCAGCACATATTGATTCAGGGAAAACTACATTAACAGAACGAGTGCTTTACTACACCGGCAGAATTGCAAAAATGCATGAGGTTTGTGCTGCATGGTTAATTTAGGGTTTGGGTTTAGTTATTTGGCAGTTATGATTTAATAAACTTCACACAATCTGGAAGATTAAAAGAATGATAACTGGTTCTTGAATTAACGTTTTATCACAAGGAGGGTAGTTGATGTTGACTTGAAATACTGCTCTCAGCACTCTGTCTAGAGACCATCAACTGGGGAGACTCAGGTAGGCTGTCTCTTAAGATTGTTAAGTCAATATGGTGTAGCTATAAGTTGCACTAAAATAATACTTACAAAATTTTTTTATTATGTAGGGAAATATTCATTATATTAGTTGGGCCAGGACTTCAAGATGGTATATAATATAAATGTAATAGTTGAATGCATTCATCAAAATAAAAAATATGAAAAATCTTAACTCCTTTGAAGAAATTACCATATTCATGAATAGCATAGCTGTCCAATTAAAAACATTTCTTCCAATAAAGGTTATTTTGTGAAAGTGGGAAGAGGGCACCGTGGATTGTAGTGGACTGGGGTGCGCTAGTGGTGAGTGTGGTCTGGTGACATGTATCTGAGGTATGATCCCATGCCTTGGAATCACATGCAGTCTTGTAAACCACTGTTACCTCAATTAAAAAATAAAGTCATTTTGCTAAGTCGTATACTTTAGAAGTTGAATCCTTTCTACCAAGGCTTCAGCACCACATGTAGCACAGCCCAGAAAGATCCTTTGTCTGAACACCCGCTGACAGACTGCCAGGCTGTTGGGCAGGGACAGTGTGGAGAGGCAGTGCCTCTGCAGTAGACCCCATTGCTGTGGTAGCTCCTGGGAAGGCAGTGAAACAAGGGTTACGTGAAACCTCCAGTCAGTGTTCTGTCTCATGAGATAATGTACTTAGATGGTTCGCCCTTTTTGAACTTGTATCTTTTAACTGCTCTGGTTCAACATCGGTAAAGATTTCTTACCTTCTTGGAATATGAGATCTGAATGCCTTTCTTTGCATTTAGGTGAAAGGTAAAGATGGAGTTGGTGCTGTTATGGATTCCATGGAATTGGAGCGACAAAGAGGAATCACTATTCAGTCAGCTGCCACTTACACCATGTGGAAAGATGTCAATATCAACATTATAGATACTCCTGGTGAGTGAGTTCACCGTTTTATTGAAGCCTGTTTCTACAAGACCACAATGATTCCTTATTGTGATCCAACTCATTGTTGAATATCAAAATATCATCGAAATTATGACCGAAAGCCTAAAATATAACTGTCTTGGTGCCAATAGCATTTATCTTACATTGTTTCCTTGAAAAATAGTACAAATTAGTGAGTTGGAAAGTTCTTGTGCACATGTTGCTGGTGGTTACAGAGGTGCTGGTGCCCCATTTTGAAGTGATCTTCTTGGGCCCTGGATCCGGTGGTGAGTGATTAAGACTGGTGGTTTAAGGAATCTGCCTTCTAACTAAAAGACTTATGAACAAAGACAGAACTTTTTGATTGAGACTGCTTTTGGACCCCACACACGTCTTTGTCTCCTGTAGGACATGTGGACTTCACTATAGAAGTTGAAAGGGCCCTTCGAGTGTTGGATGGAGCGATTCTCGTCCTCTGCGCCGTTGGAGGGGTGCAGTGCCAGACCATGACTGTTAATCGTCAGATGAAGCGCTACGGTGTTCCCTTTCTGACTTTCATCAACAAACTGGACCGAATGGGCTCTAACCCAGCCAGGGCCCTGCAGCAAATGAGGTACCGAATCATAGAAAGGAAGGAGCAGTTTGGGTAAAAGACCTTATATCCAACGAGTAGCTAAACCAGTGTCATTAAGCTTTATCCTTTTCTTATCCCCCTCCTTTTTTAAATAAATAAATAAACAACAAAAAAAGGGAACTTCATCTTTAACATTTTTCTGTGACTTAATGCAGAGCATAGAGGGCAGTATTTTGTTTTGTGGTGTCATCTCATTAACCTCCTCGGAACATGGGGCACATATTTAAATTTGTAGGGAGGTTGAAGGTGAATTCAGAAAACAATCTGGCAGTTCATACTATTTTACAAGAATTGAAAAAGTTATAACCTAGAATAGCTTTTAAAAGTACTTTTGTGTTTATTTAGACAAATCTAGAGGATCCTCCCCAGGGAGCACCCATGTCTCCTTGCTTTCATGTGATGATGCTTTTGCTGGGACAGAGGCAACACCTGCTTTCTGTATATTTCACACTGTCTTTGAAATGAGTTGGTGTTTCATTCTCTACCTTCTGTAGACATAGATGGAGTTGTAGCGCTCCTACTCTGGCCCTACATGGCAGAGCTGATGGATGTGACAGTGGCATTTTTCTTGGAAAGACTAAGAATGTCTGAGGTCAAGTCAGTTGCATTGGGGCACTTTGATTCTTCCTATCAGTTAGACTGTTCTTTTTTTAAGTTCAACAATTATATAGTTAATTTCCATATATACTCTTGTATTGCATTATCTTTATTAATAGAGCTAATTTTCAGAACTTTATTTTCTTCTAGTAACTTTTTTACTAGTATTGTTCTTGAACATTCATCTCTCAAATGTTTGCTTTCCTCAAGTACTAGGTGATTCTTAGTTATTGAATCATAGTTATAGATGAGATTTACATTCTAGACTGTAGGTGGTACTGAGTGGATTTCCTAAGAATGCTGCCATGAGCACGGCTGCTGTTCAGGGTGTGTGCCTGATTGGGGTACAGGCCGATAAGGAAAGCCTGACTTTAATGCCTACTCTGGAAGTTTTCCTCTACAACTTCCTCTTAAGGTAGCTCGGCTCCGCTTCTCCAGAGTCAGCTGATCAATGAGATGTGGGCATGACTGTCCTGCCATTCTTTAATTCCTGGCCACCCACCCATTTCCCACTGCAGTTTCTGATTCGCGGTATTTGGTCTTAGTGGAAAAACACTAATTTTACAGTTCTTTTTGTTTGCTGAAGGGGTATGGCTTCCTGAGTATGTCAGTCTGTCCCTAACTATCTATCACTGACCACTAGTTGGGGCACAGCTTCTGCTGCTGATTTCTTTTTCTGTTTCGTCATTTCAAGGGTTTAGAAGAAAAAAAGAGGTAAACATTTGTATTTTTACTTTTCAGGTCTAAACTTAGCCATAATGCAGCATTTGTGCAGCTACCCATTGGTTTGGAGGGCGCGTTTAAGGGAATTATAGATCTTATTGAGGAACGAGCCATCTATTTTGATGGAGACTTTGGGTAAGTGTTTGAAACCGACTCAAAATAGTATATTTTAAAAAGAATCACAGAGAAGAAAAGGATGAATTCTTTAAAATAAAGAGGGTTTTGTTGTTTTTTTAATGTGACTGGAAGAGTATCCTCTAAGATGATGGTTTTCATGTCCATAGTCCCAGCTGTTTCCTGTTTCAGTACACTAATTCTAAGGAAGAATATGTGACTTTTTATATCCCATTATCACGTGGATGTGGTAGAAGGCCACATAATAGCTTGGGCTATTACCTCTTTTTTTACTTGTTCATTTATTCATTCATTCTACAAATTTTATGGAGCAACTGCTATGTATATGGGTATTGTGATAAAAATTGGGCAGAAAACTAATCAAATACTTGTTCTGCCTACTTCATGGGGTTTGCAAAGATAAGATTAATACGCAGAAGCTGTTAAAATTGTACAAGTATGGTTTGAGCATTGGTAACTTGTGTGACATTTGGTCTGTCAGTCACTTTTAAGTGACCTTGTAATTGTCCAGTGGATCTCAAATCTTGACATATAGAAAAGTCATCTGGAGAGTGATCCTTCCCAGTGGTGCAGTGGGTTAAGGTGCAGCACTGCAAGCAAACTGCAGCCACTTGAGTGTGAGTTCGGTGCTCATCCCCAGAGGTGATCCACATGGTGCGGCAGACCTCGCCTGTTTGGTCCGCTGCTCCCCTCAGCAGTGTGCTTCCTCATTCGGCCTGTTCTGTTCCCCACTCTGTCTCTGGTGGGTTTTCTCGCTGCCCCTGTACCTCTGGCCTGCACCCTCATTCTGTATGCATAAATAAATCTTTATTTTAAAAAAAAAAGAGGAATAATCATCTGGAGAGCTTGTTCAAATAAACATTCCTGGATCCATCCTCAGAGATTATGTCAGTGGCTCTAGGATGGGGCCTTGAGTTTGCATTTTAGGAAAGCTCCCAGGTATTGCTACGTTGCAGATGAGCACATCACACTTTGCGTGCATTGATCTAGACAACCTAAGGAGTTGTGTATATGTGCACTTTCTTTCTGAGGGGTGGTTCCAGAGGACCTAGCATTTTCTATAAAGGTCTTTGCTACAGAACAGGGTTGCTAGCTTATACATGGTGAGGGCACTGTTGTGTTCAGTTGAGTTCTGTAGTTCATCAGCTACCTCATAGGTAGGGAAAGAGAATGAGCCGAAGCAAGTCTCTCACTTTGTCGTGACAACTCAATAGTAACAGACTTAGTCAATCATTCCTTAGAGTGTAAGGCCCAAGAGGCAGTTTTATTTTTTTAGGTTTGCATACTGCTTTGTCCAGCTCTAGGCCACTGCTTAGGTATATTTTGAAAGGACTCCATAGTTGATTTTGACATGAAAGGCTACGAACAAGTTTACCAGGACGGATGAGATTAAACTCTGAAGCCAGTAGAGGGCGTTCTTTAGGATAATAAGAATTGTTTATGTTTGTTTGCAATTGATTTCTTTTACTTTTTAAATGTTGGGTATTTTAAAAAAATATTTCTTGAAATTAGTTTCCATTTTTAAAGAAATACTTTGAAAACCTTTTAAATATCAGGTTTTTCCATTTTTCAGTTTTGTTTATTTTATCTGTTGTTGTTGCCTATTCAGCCTCTAGAGGATCAAGAATCAAAAAATACTAATTTTTTTTATTCCAAAATGAGCTATTCTATGTTAAAAATAGTATGACTGAGTTTGTTATTAGTGGTAGGGGGTAACTGGGTCTTTAATTCTGCTTGTTGGAGACTGATGTTCTGATTAACTTGGTTAATAGAATTTTGACAAACTAATAGGGTTTTGGAGTCAGATTGGCTTTGAACCTTGGCTCATTCATTTATTCATCATACATTCTTAAGCAATTTGCTTTGCTTTGCCTGTTTAAAGTTTTGTTTTTTTTTTACCACTAGTATGTCTGAGTGTTAAAAGATATGTGTTAGTCTCATTTGCCATTTTAATGCGATACTATTTTGACTTTTTTTATTAACACTGTATTTTAATTGAATGTTCTTTAAAAACCAAATTATTTCCTTTCTTAGTCAAACTGTTCGATATGGGGAAATTCCTGCAGAATTCAGGGCAGCAGCAGCTGACCACCGGAAGGAGCTGATAGAATGTGTTGCCAATTCCGATGAACAGCTTGGTGAGATGTTCCTTGAAGAAAAAGTCCCTTCAGTTTCTGACTTAAAGGCAAGTGCTCCCAAACTAAGGCAGATATTAACAAGAAAAACAGAATGGAGGGGCAGAATGAGGACTTCGAAGGGTCACGGAATTATTTTACTATAAAAAACCAATTACAACAGCTTAAATTGCAAGCTTGGCTAACTGACATTCAAAGAGCCATGGCCTGTCTATACTTAGACAGAGACACCCAAAGAAAACTTCTGTGGTTGTTTTACTAAAGTACTGTAAGTACTACAAAAACTTTTGAAACTGAATTGATGAACAGCTTTGAAATGTTAACTTACATAGACAGGCCACTACTGTCTGTTTGTGAATGTGTCTCCACTAGCACAGTCAATGCCAAACAATGCACAGATGTCTCCTGCAAACACTTGTTCAACATCCTATTAAAGAAATAACACAAAATGATTCTTGCAAGTGATACAAATCAGAACATTCATACATGTACTTGCGTAATAGAGAACTGTAGACGGTCATGGTGTGGCCAGCTGACCCAGACGAACATAAATAGTTAAAGACTTACCCTCTTCTGACTCCAAGCAATAAATAGCAAAAGCAAATTTCAAAGAGTAATTGCTTCCTCCTGTGCTCATTGTCTCTTTATACTTCCTTTTATCATGCTCAGATGTTCTACTTTTCTTTGCAATGTTTAGAAATTGTGGTTATGATGTTTTGCTTTAAGCATTTTTAGGAGAGCTAGTTTTCTGCCTTTTCCTGGGAACTGGGAAATTGGGTGGCAACTCTGTATTTCTGCAGTGGCAATCAGTGCTGCTAGAGTTACAGTGCACTGCTGGCTCAGCCAGGGGAGTGCCAGAGGCCACTGAAGGTGTCCCTGAGGGTTACTGTTGAGCCAGTTACTATCATAGCCCATAATTTACTATTTGGCTTCCATGTATAAGGGGGAAAGTTAGTTAAGTGTTTTTTGGTACAAGATATTTTCATGTGGTTTTAACAGTAGAAAAATCTCCCAGTTTCCCATTTGCTCAGTTCTCTGCTCCCTCCCTGAAACATGTTACCAGTTAATAGTTTCTGGCATAACTTTCCAGAGATTTTCTTTTTGGTTTATGTGTATTACTTTTCCCTTCACTCTACACAGTTGTTAGCATACATTCTACTTGACCATTTTGTGTGTGTGTAGCACCAAAAGGAAAATTATTGACATTCTGAAAGAATTGAAATTGCTTCTTAGTGTGAAAAATGAACAGATCATTTCTTTTACTTTTTCTCCCCCTTGTATCTGGAACTCAAGTTACCGAGATGTGCTGTCGTGTCTACTAGGGCCAGTACTCCAACGGGTGTTCACTCATGGCACTCGCTTGTTTGTCATTGAACTGAAACACAAAGTGCAGTTTTCAAGATTGATCATTAAATATTTTTCTTTTGTAGCTTGCAATTCGAAGAGCTACTCTAAATAGATCGTTTACTCCTGTCTTTTTGGGAAGTGCCTTGAAGAACAAAGGAGTTCAGCCTCTTTTAGATGCTGTTTTAGAATACCTCCCAAATCCATCAGAGGTCCAGAATTACGCTATTCTCAATCAGGAGGAGTAAGTCCTGGAAGTGGAATCTTAGTTTGTGCAGAAATAATTTAACATTTGTGTACCATGAAAGAATGTAACAATAGTCCTTATCATTGGGTTATGGTTGTGCCTTTTCCTTTTTTTCATAATTTATAAATGTCACCTTTCTGTTTAGTTAACAGTTTTGACACTTAGGGGAAAAAATGCTTAGTAAATTAGTTCCTATTTGTGACTTAGAATTTTGTAACGTTTAAAGATTTACATCAGAAAATTTCATTATTTGGGGCCAGCTATGTCGGTCATGTTAAAAAAAAAGTTCAAGTCTTTTCAGGCTCATTAATTATTATTACTATTTTTATTTTATTTTATTTTATTTTTTTGCCAGTCTCTTCTGGTCTTCTCACAATGTAGTAACTGACCTTGAGAGTAACCCAGAAGAGTTATTCAGTGAAATATCACTTATGAATGAGGTCTGAAATATTTAGCAGTTGTATGTTTTCTCAATTCATAATCCTTGAAGAGCAAACTGATCGCAAATTAATATTAAATACTGTATCATGCATTTACCTTTCTTTTCTTTTAAGTGACTCAAAAGAGAAAACCAAAATCTTAATGAACTCAAAAAGAGACAGTTCCCACCCATTTGTAGGCCTGGCTTTTAAACTGGAGGTAAGTTGCTTCCTAATGTAGCTAACTACTGTATGTAGGATTTGTCTTTTCTTTTAGACCTGTTTGCTCATTTAAGGCACTTCATTCTTACTTGTTATCTTTGATCTATTGTTGTAAATGGATATTAAAGTCCCCTAATAGTAGTCTGTTACCAGTATCTCTTTAGTTCTACTAATAATTGTCTTATGTATTTTGGTGCTCCATCTTTTGGTATAGGTGTATTAATAGGTGTTATTTCTTATTTAGATCATTAATCATAATATAGTGTCCATCTCTGCCTTTCTTATTGGAAGTCTGTTTTATCAGATAGAAGTATAGCTGTTCCTGAATGTGTTTGGTTGCTATCTATATAATTGTATTCCAGCCGTTCAGTCTAAGTCAGGGCTTGTCTTCATTTGTAAGGTGGGTTTCTTATAAGCGGCAAAAGGTTGGACTTTATTTTGAAATCCCATTCAGTCACTCCACATCTTTTGATTGGATTCAGGCCACTTGTGTGTAAGGTGATTATTGAGCCTTGTGTTCAGTTGCCATTTTGTTATCTTTTGAGTGTGTTTTGGTTTAGGGGGGTTGTCTTTTTTTTTTTTTTTTTTTAAGATTTGTTTTTATTTATTTATTCATACAAGAGCTAGGTGCAGAATACAGGCGCAGGCGGAGAGGATTCTCCAGAGACAGAAGGGGGGGGCAGAACAGGAGAATCTAACTGAAATACACTGCTGAGGGAGCAATGGGCAAGACAGGAGAGGTCTGCTATGCTATGTGGGTCAGCTCCCTGGCCAGGGTTGGAACTCATGTGGCAGTTGCTGGTGATAGCTTTATAGTTTTAAGACTTTAACCCCTGCACCACCAGGGAGGCCCTGTATTATTTGTTCTATTAAATTTTGTTTGTGGATTCTACTTAGGTTAGTATATGATGGCTATTTGTATAATCCTTTGGACATCTGGTTTCTGATTTGTTTTCTTGGACAACATTGTTACTCTCATCTTCTTAATTGATTAAGGTATCTAATGGTTCTGTCTTCGTATTGTTCTGTTGCTTCATAATCCTTTGAAATTCCTTTCATGTTCAGTTAGGTGCTGATGAAATCTTAGTTTTTACTTTTCGTTAACTGATGTAGGCATGTACCCAAGGCAACAGCTGCAGGGATCCCGGTGTGGCTGCCTCCTTCACTCTCTGGGCCGCACTACCCCCATTGTTACAGAGTTCACTGGCAGTTCTTCCTGTCCCTCTTCCCAGGCCATTGTTCCTAGATTGAGCTGTGGTTGTCAGTTTTTCCCTTGGGTTTGGCTTTGTTTTACTGAAGTCTAGTTGCAGATGTTTGGAAGAGGTGATTCTGTTACCTTAAGTTTGCTGCCATCTACTTGGAAACACCAAGATTTCTATTTTTACCAATATATTCATCTAAAACAAATATTTCACAGTTGTTCTTGGGATTTTGCTAGCTGTTGTGTTAAACCTATAAATTAATGTGAATATGGGGCCCTATCTGGTGGCTCAGCAGGTTAAAGTGCAGCACTGCAAGCTAGCGGCAGTCGCTTCAGTGCCAGTTAGATCCCTGGCCCTGGAGATGACCCACATGGCACCGCAGACCTCTCCTTTCTCACCCACTGCTCCCCACTCTTTCTCTGCTGAGTCTTGGTACCCTCCACACCTCTAGCTTGTACCCTAGTTCTAGAAGTTGCATAAATAAATAAATCTTTTAAAAAAAATTAGTGTGAATATGATTTTCAGCCATTACATGTATATTTAAACTGTTTAGTGTCGGTATTTAGAAGTAATTCACCATTGATTATTCATTTTACATTCAGTGAACTTTTATTTATATAGTTTTCTAGATTATTGTTGGGTTTATTTAGATGTATAGTAGTCTTACCATTTCTGATGATGTGTTTCTAGCAGTCATACTTTATTTTTGTTCTGTGTCTTTAGTACTAAACTGATCTTACAAACTAATATAAGACAATTTTATAATTTTTATAAAATTATTTTATAAAAATTTTATACAATAATAGAATTTTAGTGTATAACTATTAAAATTCTAATGGCTTATTTTGGATGAAGCAGAAGCACATCTTGGAGTAAGATACCAGAAAGATCTACCATCATGCATGCTCAAAGCTTATGGTAAAGTAGTTTATGAGAGCAAACCTGAGCATGCAGACAAGATCTGCTACTGAAATCGCGAGGGATTATTCTAAGGTAAGTTGTGAAGTTTTCCTCTGATGTTTCATTCTTTTTGCATTCTAGGCAGGTCGATTTGGACAGTTAACTTATGTCCGCAATTATCAAGGAGAGCTGAAGAAGGGCGATACCATCTATAACACAAGGACAGGAAAGAAGGTGCGGGTACAGCGGCTGGTGCGCATGCACGCGGACTCGATGGAGGCAAGTGCCCGGGCAGCTCTGCGAGACGAGCGATTCCCCCGCGCAGGGGAGATTGGACTAGCTCCGTGTGCTTTGAGCACACAAGAAATCACTTCTAGTTGGAAAGCACTCCTAGCTCTCTCTCTCCTACTTAGCGGGGCTGTATTTCTGACATCACACTTTCATGTTAGCAGATGTTAAGAGCACATTCTTTACCATGAGTTAAATATATTTTCTCAGTGGTTAAGGTTAAGGAGAAGAGACATTTACTTGAAATTCCCTGGGGCTCAGTACATAAGATTCGACACTTTCCTTAAGAGCTGTCGTTACAGAGAATAGGAAAGGTATTTGGGACAGTGGAACTCTGGTTGTCAAAGGTGAGAATGATAGATTTATAAGTAATAGATTTATAAGCAATTTCCTACATTGTTCAGTAAATTTACTTTTCAGAAATCTGGATGTTGTGAAAGCCCTGTGTTAACCCTAGCACTTCTTATTCCTGTTGTAGATCCCCACAAGAGTACTGAGGTTCCGAAATCCATCTGAACATACAAAACTTCTTAAGATCTGATCTGGGAGATAAGCTTTAGTGTGTCTTAAGTATTTAGATTAGGTCTGAATCTGTCTTTTGTGGCAGATTCAGGAGTATCTAGTGTGAGGTTGGCTTCTACTCCCTCTCTTTCTTGCTTCAGCTCTATATTCGTGGGTGAATTTATCGATCTAAGCAAAATCTTATGACATTCAACAATTTTTTGGTGTCTGTAACTTGTATGTCCTGAAGATGAACAGGCACGCTTTCAAACTCAGAGAGCATTTGCTATTTGTGAATATGGACAGCAGGTGGCAGGCTACAGGGCGTAGTGATTATCACAGCTGTGAGAACTGTACAGCTGTGTAACCATTAAAGAGAGACACATGTATAGCCACAGCTGTTATGAATGAACTGTCAATATTAAAGGACAAAACTAGGAAACTTAGAGGCACTAATGCTTTGTTCTTAGATTTCCTGTTTTTTTTTGACTGTTTGCATCTGTTCAGAATTTAGAAATAAAGATTCTAAGTACAATAGGCTCCATTCTCCTGCTTTTGTTTTCACAACTTCCTTTGCAGCTTTTTCTTGTACATCTTTGTTACATGTATCTCATTGTTAAACCAAAGTCTTTTCTGTCAGTACTACCGATCCTGCCATTAGCTCTGCGTTTCCATTTATAGTAAAATCTTGTTGATTGCATATGGGTTAAGTAGGACACTGATTAAGAAATGCCTTGCCATGTTTGATGGTGGTGTAACATAGGTTCTACCAAACTCATTCTTTGTGGTATTCATGGTTAGGTCCTGTCATGTTTGTTTTTTACATGTATGCATTGTGCAGTTACTTTTTAGTTACCATATTCTGATTTGTATCACTTGCAAGAATCATTTTGTGTTATTTCTTTAATAGGATGTTGAACAAGTGTTTGCAGGAGACATCTGTGCATTGTTTGGCATTGACTGTGCTAGTGGAGACACATTCACAAACAGAGACAGTAGTGGCCTGTCTATGGTAAGTTAACATTTCAAGTTTCTTCAAGTTTTTGTAGTACTTACAGTACTTTAGTAAAACAACCACAGAAGTTTTCTTTGGGTGTCTCTGTCTAAGCATAGACAGGCCATGGCTCTTTGAATGTCAGTGAGCCAATCTTGCAGTTTAAGCTGTTGTAATTGGTTTTTTATAGTAAAATAATTCTGTGACCCTTTGAAGTTAAGCATAGAGGGAAAAGCTCCACTAGTTACAGCTGAACTATGTGGCTCTAAGTCCTCTCTCTGAGACCTACCTACCCACAATTCCTGGATTGGCTGTAATCAGGTTAATCCTGATGAAAGTACTCCCTGGTAGCAGCAAGAAGTAGGCCCTTTCCGCCATTCCCCGAGAGAATTGCAAGGCCCGATGGTAACATTAAGACTAGGCTTAGGGATAACAGAACAGGACTCCGAAGGCCAGCACCTCAGCAGGGTGCCTTTGCATCTGCCTACACTGTAGTGTGCCTGTCCCACTTCACCAGTGAGGGTACCCTGAAGAGAAGTGGTTGGTTCCTGACTCTTTGTCCCCTTTACTCACTTTCCTTTTTTGTCCTCAGAAGAGGGCAGTTCTCCTACAGTATAACCATTAGTTTGTAAGACTGGTCCCTCTCCTGAATTCCCTAAATTGAGCGCAAAGGGACAGGTCATGCAGTAAAGGGATTTGCAACCGGTCATTTACATAAGGACTGGTTCCTCTAATCTCTGAGCACTATGGTATTTACTGTACATGATGAAGTCATGATTTATGATTAGGTTTTTGGTATAAAATATTCTGTTACTGTCTGGCTTGGCAGACAGGGAGTTTTCATAAGGAGTTATTTTGTATTATTGATCAGATCTTCTAAAAACATTTATCATCTGTAATATGAAAGAACTAGAGTTTGTGGAAAAGTGCCCAAGCTTTGAAACCTCGTTTAGGCTCACCTCTGCCTTATACTAACTACTGGCCTTAGGCTAGGTGATTCTCTTTTCTAAGACTTTAATGACTTTATTTATAAATTGTGGATAATGATATCTCAAAGCTGTGATTGATTAAGTGAGGTATCATACATTTAAAGAATGCGGTGTCCTTGCTGTTTTTCTTTTCAGTGATTGTTCTACATTTTGATTCAGTAGAATAAGATGGCAATAGTGGTTTGCCTCCGTTAGTAAACAGGAATTCCACCTCTCAGCATGTGGATTGTAATGACTATGCTAAATTGAAAGTGTCAAGAACTTAAAGGTGTTAAACAATTAATAAATAGATTTATTTTTCTTACTTTGGGAGGAGATGATCTAAATGAACACCTTTATTTACTTACATATTTATTTAAAGCAGGCCACCAAGATACATACTGCCTAACCTAAAAATGTTGACTGTGTTTACCCTTTGTTCTGTTAGAAAGTAGCATATCAAAATTAATCTACCCCTATCTCTACAGTATTGTATTTGAATTGTTTGTTCTTTAAAAAAAAATTTTAGGAGTCAATTCATGTTCCTGAGCCTGTCATTTCAATAGCGATGAAGGCTTCTAACAAGGTAGGTATTTGATCTGTAAGCTCTAATATACCAATAGACTGCAACTCTGTCATATCTCTCCATGAAATCAGCCATCTCAGGCCCTCTGTTTCCTCTTTTAGTGCTAGGTGCTTTAGTAGTATTCATAAACTGTCCTTCATTACTTCATTATTGACTCCAGAATAGTAATCATAACCTACATCAGATCCTGAAGAGAGAAAAGGAGAAACACGGGCATTAGTTCTAAGTTACCATGAAACCTCACTATTAAGTCCATTAGAATACTGCATAAATTGTCCATTATATAATAATACATTTCTAAATTTGTGGAAATTGTAAAGTAAGTGTCTAGTTATATAACATGGAAAACCTGCAAAAAAGACTTGTTCTCACTTTCAAATAAAAGTTTCATGATTTGAGTCAGTGCCATTTAACTTTTTCCAAAACCAAAATTCAATAGGTTTTGTTTGCACCTTGCTTGCCGCTGGAACTATCCTGAACTTAAGCCAAAATTGCTTAGTTCTTAAAAATTGATGCTTGCAACAATCACATTAATATGATAATTGAAACAAACTCACCTTGAGAGAACTTTTGATGACCTCTACCCAACTCGGAACTATCATCTGCAGAACATAATCGGAGTTACTTCACCTGTTTGAGGGAAGTTGAGATTTTCCTGACTATTCCCAATATAGAAAATAGAACATTGAGTGGCAAGATACTAAATCATTCCGTCTCAGAAAATTGAGGAAAACCATCTTTTATCTCGCCACGGTCAGATGCCACAGATTGTTCAAAGTTCTTTGTTAAATTGTTCATTTTTCCCTTCAGAATTTGCAGGGCTAGTCATTAAAGATGCTTCTTAAATCCAGAGTTTATGTAAGACATTTATAGTCTAAGTTGATAATCTACAAAAATGAAGGATAATTAAATGCATCGGTATGGAAATGTTTGTCTGGAGTAGGTTAAGTAAGTCAAGTCAGATCATGAAGCCATGAGTCTAAGAAGTGGGGTAGCGGTGACCTTTCAGTAAGTGAACTACCTGGCTAGTGTAGGGAAAAATAAAAGACTTCAGAGACTAACTACTCAGACTTAATGCCAGCTTTGTTGTGTGGCCTCTTAACTTCTCAGTACTGGCTTTCTTACCCGTAAAAAGTTGCTTTTTGCGGGGGGCATCTTTGTATTTAGAATTTAGAAATTGAAATAACATTCAAAATACATAGCACAGGTCCAGGCACACATGTTAACTGTTAATATTAGTGATTTAGGGCCTATAAATTTCTATTGTTTCCATAGATAACAGCACCTAAAGTGGCTGATCCTAGACCTTTAAATCATATACAGTGTTATAAACCAGTGTCACCTTGATACAGAAAATCACAAACTAAGGGCGTAAAACAACACAAATGTATTATTTTACTGTTGATCAAATCAGAGATTTGAAATAGGCTAAAGTCAAGCTATTGAGAGGGCTAGGCTCCTTTCTGGAAGTTCTAAGGGATAGTTGATTTCCTTGCCCAGATTGTTGACAGAAGTCAGTTCCCTGTGGTTACAGGATTGGGGTCTTTATTTCCTTGCTGACTCACCTGTGGTTGTCCTCGCTTCTAGAGACTGCTTTCTTCCTAGGCCCATGGCCTCTCTCCTCCTGTCTTCTGCGCTAGCAGCACTGAAATGAGTCCCTCTTGTGCTTCAGCCTTCTCCTACCTCCCAGATCCCTCAGGTTCCTACCCTTATGTTCCTGCCCTCAGTCAGTGTTCCTCTTCTTTGTGTTCCATTTCCACTTTTAAAACCCTATGTAATTATATTAGGTCCACTGAGGCAGTCTTGATCTCAAAGACCCCTTTGTCATGTCAGGTGACAGCCTCAGAGTAGGGCGATCCTCAGCAGTTTTTCTGCTTACTTCATGTGGCATTACTGCTAAGGAGAATAAGGATGCTGATAGAATAGTCAGCTGGTAGACATGCTGCTTCTTGTGACTATGCCTATGTGTAGGGTTTCCAAAATGTAACATTGTAAATCTACTTTCTGCTTTACCAGCCATTTTCTATCTGTGGGCAGTTTTGTTCTAAAAGGGTGTCATTAAAGAACCAGATGTGAATGATTGTTGTTTTTAACTGCCAGTTTTACTGATTTTATTCACTAACATTCTTTAAACAATCCCATTGGCTACCATACTTACTAATATGTATAACAACTTTCTTCTTTTAAAGAATGACCTGGAAAAATTTTCAAAGGGTATTGGCAGGTTTACAAGAGAAGATCCCACATTTAAAGTCCACTTTGACACGGAGAGCAAAGAGACCATTGTCTCTGGCATGGGAGAGTTACACTTGGAGATCTATGCACAGGTAATGGTCTGGTGTGCTGAGCACAACCAGGAATTCTCGGTGCAATGACCCTAAACTAACACTGCTTCACACTTCAGTCAGGCTGTGTCCACATGCAGATCAATGGACTGCTTCCTCTCCTGTGTGTGACAAATGAGTTGTTCACAGTCTCTAAGTCCTTTTATTTGTAAAGTGATGTAGTGATCTAGAAATGTTGTAGGCTCGGAAGCTGTATCACAGTGTGACATCATCCCCAGGTCATGGTTAGTTGAGCCAAGTAACCCTGGTGCCAGCCTTGCTAGGGAGATGGCCACCACTGCACCAGCGACAGTCTGTCTTGGCTGTTTTCCTCTCCAGTCAGATCATCATTATAGATAAGAGAGAGGGAAGGAGGGGACCTGTACTGACCCAGGAAAGGTCTGAATGAAACCAAAGATTTAAGATGACAAATTCTGGTGTGAGCTAATCTTTGAGGTTAAGGTAGTGGAAAATTCTGACAACAGATTCATAGTGTTCCAGTGAATGTGAAATAATAAAGAATAAAGGTAAAGTTTCGGTGAATACTTCAATGGAGGTAGCCATAAATTAATCATCTGCATTAGAATTTTATATAAAAGCAGTTTGTATTATCATGTATCCTTGTATTGAAGTGATTTTAGAAGTATTACTTGCTTATCTGTTATGTAAATGAATGATTCTAAGGTATTTAAGATGCTTAGGATTTTTTTTTTTAAATTATTTATTTATTCATACAGAAGTAGGGTACAGGCCAGAGGTGGGGGGGGGTGAGAGGATTCATCAGTGACAGAGTAGGGAGCAGAATAGGCAGATCTACTGAAACACTGCTGAAGGGAGCCTCAGGTAGGTCAGGAGAGATCTGCCATCTGTGTGGGTCAGCTCCCTGGCCCAGTATCAAACTAGTGCTATAGTGGCTTCTGAGAGCTTTATAGTGTGGTGCTTTAACCCTTTGTGCCACCAGGGAGAGCCCTGATTTTTCTTTCTAAGATTTATTTATCTTATGCATATAGAATGGGGTACAGGCCAGAGGTGTGGAGAGTGAGAGGATTTGCCAGAGGCAGAGCAGGGAGCAGAACAAGCAGATCCACAAAGTACACTGTTGAGGGGAGCGACAGGCGGGTCAGGAAAGGTTGCCCATGCCATGTGGGTCACCTCGCTGGCCCAGGATCAAACTCATGCTGCAGTGGCTGTGGTAGCTTCATAGTGCTGTGCTTTAACCCATTGTGCCAGCAGTGAGGGCCCAGGATTTTTCTTTTTAATTTGAATATATGAAAAAATTATCTCACCCACTCTTTTTTAGAGGTTGGAAAGAGAATACGGCTGCCCTTGTATCACAGGAAAGCCAAAAGTGGCTTTCAGGGAGACCATTACTGCCCCTGTCCCGTAAGTATGAAATACAATTAAACATAAAGCTGGAATTGAAGTATTTTATTATGAGATATGCATGCATTATCATTACCATTATTAAGACTGTTTTACATTGTGACACTTTATTATGGAATCTGTGTACTTCTATGTGTAATTAAGACATTTAAACACTGTGACACTTTGGGATTTATTTGGCCTCTTAAGCTAGATACCCGTGAAGGCTGGCATCCCCCTTATTAAGAAGCATGGTTACACTTTCTCCGGTTTCAGGGTCATCTTCATTTATTCCATTTGTGCTTTCTTTGGCAAACGGTTGTTATGTTTTACTTTAGTACCATATTGTGGGTGCCAGAGAACTTGCATTTGCCAAGGAATAATCTCCTGCAAGTGAAAAAAAACTAATGCTATGATACAATTCATAAAACACTACAGAATAGCACTGGGCTTATATCGTGTTAGTGACAAGGCAAAGCTCATAAAGAGGAGCACAAAGCAAGGTGAACTGCTTAAGTACAATATCCTGCAACCTGGTGCCTATTTGAATTTACAGAAATTCCAGTTTTTCAAAATGGATAATGCTCACTGGCTGTAAACTACCTCAGTTTTCAAAATAAAGTAAATATTTTACCTGAGATGCGATGTCATGAAGTAGAACAGTATAGTCTAACTCAATGAAGTCATCATTTCTTTGCTGTAACAAAAAATGAAAGTGATGTTCAAAACTTAATATTGTTGGCAAAAGTGATATTTTCACTCGTAGATTACTTCCATTTAAGTGAAAATTTAAATGTTTATTTCACTTTAAGTTAAAAATTAAATGATGTTTATTTCATGTTAGGATCACAGAAAAATTTTCATTAAATTTTCTTTCAACTAAATTTTAAAAGTCATAATTTTTTACTTGTGACTCTATAAAAAGCATTTACCCTTTGTGTTCTTATTTTCCACATCGTAGCTACTTAAGAACATAGCCTATAGTTGTGATTCTTTAGTATTCCATTGTTCAGAAAAGCATGAATTTAGAGATAAACTACTAAAATGAGTAGTTTACACTTAGACTAATTTTATTATAGAAATTTTAAAAAACTGAACATAGAAAATTGTAATCATTATTGTAAGATTCTGTAACTAAAGCTTTGACCAGGAGCAGTTAATGCTTTGAGCATAAACAGTGTTTATAGCACTAGCTGTAAAGAAATATTGTACCCACATAGTTTAAAGCCTTAGGCATGGGCATTATGCTATGCTTACATAAGGTTCTGTGAACCTTTTAATCACTGTGTTCAAGCCAGCCCAAGATTCCAAGGGACAGTACAGGCCCAGTGGTTTCTGTGGTTATATGGCTTCTAAATAGGGCCCAGGGTCAGGTAACAGTGTGCATTCTCCCTTAGGGTATCTTGATGTAATCCTTTGATTATAATAAAAAGAAATCCTTCTTTAAAGATAACAGAAAAATAAGTTTCTTAAATGTTGGATCTTTATATGTATCTAATCAATGTGTGTGTAAAGGTATAGAATATGTATAGGCTGAAGAGAGTTTCATTAACACTTTAAAAAACTACAGTTTGATGAAGGATTGGTTACAGTTGTTTTGTTTGTTTTTTCATAAAATACTTGTGAGGCATATTTTGCTATTAAAAAGGGGGCTTGAAAGCCATTATTATGATCAGAGAGCCTTTGTCATCTGGGCCAGTTAATTATTTGAAGCTCCAGTAAGTCCTATAGCAATGTTGTAACCAAGGCTGATATTTATAGAAATGCATTAGAAAAAGCCTGTTTCTTAAAATGGTGTAGTAATAATTGTGCAGTAATATTATGTTAAGTGTTTGGCATCATACTAAGTACTGTAACTGGGTACCCTGCCTTCCAGTGCCCATAGGCATTTAGCTAGTGGTTTCACAACCTGTGGAGTAAAGGTGCTCTTTCTTATTGGTACCAACAAGCTGAAACAGGTCAACTGGAAAGTCTTTTCTCTTTTGGGGCTGACTAAAAATGTATGATGTGGTGTCTTTATGCTCTTAATTTTTTTAAATTTCCACTAGGTATTGTTAGCTGGCACTTTTTTCTTTTTAACCTTTTATAGTACTAAAACTAAATTCAAAGATTTCTTTTTACCTCTTTCAAGTTTCAAAAGAGGTGGTTTTATATAGTCATATCAGATAAGAAAACACAAGGTTAGAACAAGATAGCAGATTGTAAGTTATGACTCAAAGTCTTATAAAAGAAAATTGTACCCAACAAGCTGCACAAAGACTGAGATGCTAATGTTTTTGTATGGGATGCTCTGCCGGGGGATGTCTAATTAGCAGCAGCATCACCATTACAGTAGAGGAAAAAAGCTGAGGCATGACAGTAACAATATTTTGTATCCCAAAGGAAATAATCCTAAATAATAAATAAATAATTATTTATTCACTCTCTTAAAACTGTAGCTCCACCTTCTCTAGCATTGATTGTAATTTCAGTGTTTTAAACATAAAATGACTAATGAGGCACTAGTCACCTGGCCAAGAACTGTAACACTTTTAATATATTTTAGTCCCTTTAGTAGTGCATTTTATAAAAACTACTTACCACTTGCTTGACAGTTTGAATTTTTGCCATTTTATACCATGTGTTTTCAGTAGAATTCTGCCATATGATATAACCACAGGCAACCCAGGCTAAGTGTCGAACTGGCTTCATTTCTGGAGCTATGTTTCCAAAACTGTCTGGTGAGGTAAACATTTGTATGATTATTTATAGAGAGAGTATTAATCTTTAAAAAATCTGAACTCTTTATGTCTTAATTTTTCTCAAATGTGTACAGAAAATAATTAAACCATAGATCTGTGTATTTGAGGCATTTTTTGTTGGTAATATTTATAATATGACTGGTAATATTTAGCAATAGCTAGTATACTTCTAACATGTTACCCATGAGCACTGGTAATTGATTTGGATCTAAAAACTGGGGGTAGCGGGGGAAGGGGGGCTTGAGGGGGGGAATTCATGCCATATTTATATACCTGGAATATTTTGTGCTTCTAGTGGTTCCTTCATGGACTTGAGTCTTTGATAAAATGTGTTATCTTCTTTATCTGGATTTTTTCCAATTTCTCCTTCAAATGTGAAGTTAACTTCTGGTGCAGTATCTTGTCCCACTGGAGGGTAAAGTACTTCTGCTGTGCAGTTGACTGTAACTTGCTGTTAGAAACATTTTGCAAAGATCTTTACATGTAAATAGGTGTCCATTACCAATTTATTAACTCTTTGATATACACCACTTAAAGTATTTGCCCACTGAATGTTGGTGGTTCAAACTTGAGAGGCCCATTTCCAGAGATAGCCTAATAATTTTCTTAGAGATTTCTGAAATAACATATTAGGTCTTATAATCTTGTAAATTATCTTAAAACTCTGTATGTCATTATTAACGGAGTGTCCTTTTGCAAGCTAGTTTTTAGTCTGACACTATATACCTACACCTCTAGACTCTTAATCTCTGCTCTTGAAGTAACAGAAATTTTCTTAAACCCATATACAGCAACCTGTTTAGATATAAAAGTAGAAAATTGTGGCATTGTTTCTGCTTCGTAAAGATGACTGTCTAACAGCTCAAATAAGTGCCTTTTGATGAATTTCCTTACACTAGCCTGTATCTCGTATGAGCTGTGCAAAATAAAAGGGCAGGGTTTTTTAAATTTCAAGATGGTTATGATACAAATTGCAATTTTCTTCCTTTTTTAAAAAAAAGATTTATTTATTTATTTATGCATACAGAACTGGGGTACAGGCCAGAGGTGCAGTGGGTGGGGTGAGAGGCTTCGCCAAAAACAGAGTGGGGAGCACAACAGGCTGATTGAGGAAATACACTGCTGAGGGGAGCAGTGGGCTGGTCAGGAGAGGTCTGCCCATGCCAATTTCTTCCCTTTAAGCTAGTCTCATTAGTAATTTAACAGGTGCATACTTAAAAAAAATAAAATCTAGTCTGTTTTCTAGATAGCTTAATAGAAGTACTTCATGTTTCTCATAACATACAAAGAATAAAAACTGGTCCTTGTGTGGTCAGTATTTTTTGAGGCAGGGTTTTCAAAACCACTTAAAAGAACAGTACAATTAAATTAATCTATGATTTGATCATCAAAGGCTATCTGAAATAGTCAGAATGAAACTTTATGGATACAGGACATTTCACTTACTTTTTGGATAATTTCTTCCACGGAAAATTTGAGACGATACTTATGTCCTCTTCCTGGAATATCCTAAAGTAAAAAAAAGAGCTATTAATAAGTACTTAAGTCTTTGCATTATTAGGAGAATCCACGCTCACTTGGTTTCTGGGGACATTGCCTGGTGGGCTTAAATTTCAAACCTTAGACTTAAACGCGTGTCTGCATAAACATACCATTTAATGCTGCCTGAGATCATTTGGATGAGAACAAAAGGGTGAATAAAACCATATGTCACAGGACTTCAACTTCTGGATATGTGACCCTAAGTTTTCTACACAAGAAATTTGGAAATAACTTTTAAACTGAAGATGATGATTAGGATACACTATTAAAATTTTTTTCATTAGGCCCTGTGTATCCAGCAAATACTGTTTAATGAAAATGAATTCCTCTTTAAGCAGATTACTGTAGAATGGTTAGAAATGTTGGTATTGTTTTTAGTTGTAAAATAATGGACCAGCGAAGTGATACTCTTAACAAAACTTACACTGATAACTATTTCCATTTTTAATCAAAATACAATTGAGAGGTTATAGGTAATTATGGTATGGGATGCAGTTTTGAAATAATACCTACTCCCTCTCAGTCCTTAAAGACCGAGAGCAACTAAACTTGTGTGTCACATAAATTAAGGATCAAGCTCATATCCATTAGATTTTAGTTAATAGGAATTCGTGACTGCTGAGACCTTAAAACATTTCATTTAATTCTTTGAATGGTTCCACAAGTCTCAGCTGGGGAAAGGGAAATGCTGGTCCTCGTTTAGAACATTCTCCCACTTCCTGGTACTTAAGCCTATAAAAGCTGTATATGGCTGGCTCAGCCCTGAAAACAGCTGCCGCGGACTGTGCCCGGAGGCTCCAGTGTCTCCAGTCCCTGAGGTACAGCCTCCCTGGCGGAAGGACCCGAGGACCGCGCCCTTCCACCGACTCACCTCCAGGCTGGCCTGCTGCACGGTGTGCACCAAGAACACCTGATGCGGGGAGCCTTGCTGGTAGTTAATGCAGCTCTCTGCCACGGAGGCTGCCCGGGAAGCCGGGAAGTGAGTCGGCGGGATCTCCATTCTGGGTTAGGGCTCGTGCAGGCTGGGCAGGGTAGCGCCAGAGACGGTGCCAGTGCGTGTGCACCCGGGACGGTGCTTCTGTGCCAGTGTGCTCTGAATCGGAACGGGACAGCGCCCCAGTGCCAGTTCGGTGCCGCCAGACAGTCTTCTCCCCTCTCCTTCCCGTCCCCCCCACCTTCCCTCCAGGAAGCCGGCTTCCTCCGCCCCGCCCCTTACCGCCCACGCCGGGCTGGGGAAGTAGGGGCGGGACTTTACCCTTTCTACCTTTCCCCAAGTGCGGGAGGGGGACTTATGATCTAGCCTTTTGGGAGGTTCATGGGCCTCCAGTTTCTCTACACCTGGAGGGGCTGATTTCCTTTGCTACAACCGGAGCACTACTTTTTGCACCACCGACAGTGTCAAAAGCGGGCACCCTGGATAAACAGTGCCTTAATCCTTCCACCGTGAGAGTCTAGGAGCCTGCTTGCTCAGCCCCAGCTTTCTGTTGGGTTGGACTGGTTTTCCCCAAATCAGGACCTAAGGCTGCAGACTAGAGCATTGTTTGGAGGATTGTGTAATAGGAGCAGGGGAAGTTTAAAATGCACCAGATCTCTCTCTGCTCTCGAAAAATGAGGTTCCAATACAATACCTTGCTTCCAACTTTGTGAGTTACTTTAAAAGTTATATTTTGTTGAGGAATAAAACATAGTTAAAAATGGGTTACACAAAGTACTGCTATATTGATGTAGCTTCTAACAAAAGCAGGAGTTTTTAAAGCTGCCCAAGCCTAAACTTTCAGCAGGCTGTGCTTTTTTTTTTTCTTTTTTATTATTCAGATTTTTAATTACCTTTTATTACCGTTAAAAGAACTTTATGATGATCTTTGAATTTGCTCCATATGGGAAAGTTTAGGTTCCTTTCTTCAGATAAAAGGCCAGAAATCATTTTAGTTTGTTGGCGTGGAAACAAGAGTTTTTTTACTCTTTCTCAGAAATGGGTTTTTGAAAATATTTGGTAGATATGTTGTGTTGCTTAAAGAAGGTTTAAAAAAAAGTGCTTTATTATCTTCTCAGATGCCCTTTTGAAAGTGTTTTTGGAGTAAGTCGATCTAAGAAAATAGTCAGTAGTAAGGCATTTCCTATCTCTGCTATCTCTGTAAGCCAAAACAGTCACTATGGGTTGAAGGGGTTACCTTTTCCCTCAAGGCTTTTTTTTTTTAAATGAAGGTTTTTTTTTTTTTTTTTTCTTCCATTTGGGGAAGCTGAGTCCAACTGTGAGCCCAACTCTCAGGTTGTGACTGTGTGTTAAATGCTTGAATTGTGTGCTCATTTGATCGAGTCCAGGAGTGATTAAGTATGCCCTGATGATACAGAAAGATCTTTCTGCTGACAGTAGTTCACATGTGTACTACCAGTCAAAAATTCTAAGAACTAAAAGTGAACCTCTTATAATGTCACCATTTTGAAGCTCTATGAATACAATTACCAATTCTGTATCAAGGATAGTAATATAGGCTGTGCTATATAAAGTCATTTACTGAAGGTATACAGACCAATTTAGGTTCTTTTAAAAATATAATTATTAGATTGATATAATTTGATTTTCTATATCAAGTAAATAAACTACATTAAGAGACTTATTCTGTATATGAATCCTTGTAATCTTACTAATTTTACTAAAGTATTGCCATGAATGGGTAGTCAAAAGTCTACTATTCTCAAACTTGCATAATGCATAGGTTACCCTAAAGCAGCAGTGTTATTGTGGGTCTCTGGAATCAGGTAAATTGTATTACAATTTTGTATAACTGAAAATAGTTAAGTCTGGACACCTGTAGCCTGCAACTTTGATAGTCAGAATAAGTCCACAAAAAGAAACAAAATCACTATAATGCTTATTAACATTAATCTTAATGAGTTGATGCTTTGCCAAAACTAAATTGCCTTTTACAGCATGCCAGTGGTCTGACCACAGAGAGGTACCAGGTTCTGTGAGTTTCATTTGAACTTTTGTACAATCTGCCTTTGAGCTGCGCCCTCCAATGACTTTTGAAGTGTACACATCATTTGCTGCTTCAACCGTCTTGTATTCTTACTAGTTTTCTAGAAAAATGTAATTCAGAACGTTGGTCTTGGTGCAGATTTTGGCTGTGACACTTGATAGCTGGGTCTTTGGCATGCTACTTAGCTACTGTGACCTTAAGATTTCTCAGCTATAAAGTGGTGATAAAAGTAGTACTTATCTTCTGGGTTTGTGCTGAAGAACAAGACAACTCATAAAATGTATTTAACACAAGCCTGGCACCTAAAGGTTCCTTACTTGGCACTGACTTGATTTTAAATCCAGATGTGGTCTGTAAGCCATGGATCACTCGTGGTGAATCGTTCACTCAGGGCAGAGCTGTCCACACAGAATTCTGTGCATTGACTGGCATTCTGCAGCTGCCTGTACAGTGTCACTCTCCACCTGTGATGCTGATCACTTGAATGTCGTTAGGAACTGAATTTTAACTTTTATTTAATTTTAATTGATGTAAATAGCCGTGGTTAGTGATTGCAACATAGAAGATATAGATCCGGATTATGGTATGTTTGTATGAATGTTATGTTATTGTCAGGTGGAAAATAAAACTTAAGATAACTCAGAATTCACATGTGCCTAAGAATGTCAGTGGACCACTCACAGATTCAGAATCCCTTGAGGAGTGTGCAGTGAATTGGCAGTTACTTCTATCTGCTTTCCCTCTCTCAGTTCTGACAGCAAGAGTTTTTTTCTCCCTCCTAGGAAAATTAACCTTTCAGCATTTTGGCTTTCCCAGCCCACCATGAAGCTCTTGGCACTACAGGATTATTTAAAGGCCACAGTTCATCAGGGACATTCACATGTAGGCTTTTTATGAAATCTGCTTATTCCAAGCTGGCATTTCCTGCCAAAATTGATACTGACTTCTTTGAACTCACTCACAGGTCCGTAGATATGGAATACACACTCATTATTGGCCATGTGTGTGCTGTTATCTGCAGGCATTTTTGAAAACCTCTTAGAGCTTAAAGGAGGAACTATCCTTGTATGGGTAGATGATCAAGAAATAATTTTTTTTTTTCAATGAGATAGTGGCTGATAAGCTACATTTACAAATGCTTAAGATGTAATATGCTCAATATATATTATTGTAACCTACTTATGTTTCCATTGGTGGTTTAAAAGAAACACTGACCTGTGTTTTGTCTACTTGAATGAATTTTCCATTAATCACTCTCAGGTGTTAATTATTCTACCTAAAACTCCCTGTGCTTGCTACTAAACAGTCTGTAATATCCAAGTGGTAAACAAACAAGGACATATATATGAATAAATCAGTAGGGTCCCTATTTTAAGTAACTGTCATCAGTTGTAGGGATGTAAGAAGAGAACATGGCATCCCAGACAAGGGAGGCAGGTGTTCTAAGGGTGGATAAGCTCTTTGGAATATCCACTATTGTAAGCACTTGACTTCAGTTTTTCTAGAAAAGTTGGCAGAATTAGAGGAAACCATGGATTTCTGTGGTAGCATCACCTTCTTCCCCTCTGAGTAAGAGCAGAGAAGAGGTCCTTTTTAAATTTTACAACAAAATTTAAAGGCCATCCTATTCAAAGAATCAGTAAAAACAATGAAATGTGCTTTTTCATTTGAGTTAGGAATTACTCCATTTTGGTAACTACATAATGCTATGTTGATTTCTCCTCCCTCCTAAATCATTTTCAGGTTTGAGTTTACACATAAAAAGCAATCAGGTGGTGCAGGCCAGTTTGGAAAAGTGATAGGTGTACTGGAGCCGCTGGACCCAGAGAACTACACTAAGTTGGAGTTTTCAGATGAAACATTTGGATCAAATGTTCCAAAGCAGTTTGTGCCTGCTGTAGAGAAGGTAAAGAAATCCCACAACTTCCTTGGGTTTTTAAAATTAAAACAGTTTGTGTCAACTTGTATTCCTGTTACATTGTCTTCCATGATTCATTTTAATCACGGGCTTACTTTTTTTGATTGTTAAGTTTCCCATCTGATTTGGAAGTATTTCATTAAATCCAGAGTTTATAAACATATGTTATGACAATGAGGGGTCATTCTCTTACTTATATTCATTATATTTCTCTGGTAAACTGCAGCACTCATGGATGATATTCAGTGGAAGGGATTTCTGGAAGTCTCAGAATCCTGTTGAATGAGTCCCAACCCCGGGGGTTCTGTCCACCTCTTGCTGGTTTCCGTGTTCTCTGTGAACCACTGTGTTCAGAGCCAGTTTCTTTCTTGTAAGCTAGAGTGAACTAATTAAATCTGAACACTTCATAAAAGTGAGGGCCATAGTAGAATCTGTTGACATTTCTTTGGGAAATATGAAGTTCTTTGCATTGTAAGGGGGTTAATGTTTGTTTTTTTAGATTACTTGCTTTAAGACTTGTGAATCTTTAGCAACTGTCTACTTGTAGGGAATGAGACATTCAGTCTTTTAACATTTTAACTTAGGAATTTTATTAACACATTATAATTTTGGGTTCACTGTTGGTAACATTTTTATGTCTAAAAGTATATACTTTCGGCCCTCCCTGGTGGTGCAGCGGGTTAAAGCACAGCACTGGGAAGCTTGGGCCACTTCCGCATGAGTTCGATCCCCGCCTGCCCGCCCGGAGGAGCTCCACATGGCGCAGCAGACCTCTCCTGGCCCGCCCACTGCTCCCCTCAGCAGTGTACGTCATGAATCTGCCTGTTCTGCTCCCCACTCTGTCTCTGTCTGGTGAAGCCTCTCACCCTCCGCATCTCTGGCCTGCACCCCAGCTCTGTATGAATAAATAAATCTTTAAAAATAAAAAAGACTTAAAAAAAAAAAAAGTATATACTTTCAAGACAATGTTTTGTAATTCACACACTTTTGAACAATTTTCTGTTCTCTGCAAGTAATGTAAGAGAAGGAAAGCTTAGGTGTTTTTCAATATACAGAGTTTGCAGTTTTGAAAATTCAGAATTCGATTGTACTGTGTATATAGCCATGTTATTGTCTTGCCCAGAAAAACTAACTTGAATTGTAGGAGCTCTACAAGTACTAGATAAGTGACTGCATGAAAAAGAACTGCAGGTTTATCAGAGTGTATTCTTTAAGTGGGTATGGTTGTTTTTTTTTTTTTTATTAAAAAGTTTATTTTTACATCATTTTTCACATTTTTTTTTTCATCTCAATTGTAATCCCCACGGGTTTCCCATCA